CACTCTCTTATTTTCGAATGCTCCATTTAAAGGGGAACTGTCACCTCTTTAGAATTTACACCATTAAATAAAATCACCTATGACACGTGTTAATGTTTTTTTTCATCAGACGCTCTCTGTTCTTTTACATTTAGATTTAGATATAGAAAATGGCATTGTAGTCCAGTTCAGACAAGGTAATGCCTCCTGTAACCCCTTAGTGACCAGGCCATTTTTCAATTTTTACATATCTTGTTTGCCTATCTTCCTTTTGGGGGCCTGATCAGATATCCCAATGTATTTTCTTGCCATGAGCGTGCATATATTTGAAAAGTTGACACCCAGCAGTATTGTATATGGAGTGAATGCAATCATTTTAGTCAAAAAAAAGTGAAGAAAGTGTGTGGAGGTAACTGTTCAATCTTCATTTTTACACACACATTGCTTTTTGACTGTGATTTAGGAAAGCCCGTTGTTGGTTATTGCAAGAAAACACCCCTGGTTGTTTTCTGCAAGGCCTCCTTAGGACACCCATGCCCCCCATGCATAGGGTAAATGTAACAAAACCAAAAAAAAAAAACACAGAAAAAACTGAACAGCAAATGTTAAAAAATAAATTAAAAATGGACCAGCGTGTGGTATCGTTTGAAGCAGTCTCCAATGCAGAGTCCAGGCTGTCCAGGGCAATCAGGACAGTGATATACACTATCGTTTCTCTGCCCCCTTTTAGAACAGACCCTGCAACTTTTTTGGGGATTCTGCTTTGCCGCAGTAGGGGTAATTTTAAAAATAAAATGCGTAGCCCCAACTCTGCTCTCTCCCATCACCGCCTGGGGAGCAGGTGCATCACGGTACAAAATCCCCGAAATGATCTGGAGCTGAAACTGTAAAAATCTCAGTTGCGTCCTGGGGTTTGCGTTTTTGAACAAAAAAAAGGGTTGTGGGTTGCAATCTGCATTAGGTAGATTTCAACCTTTTTGTACCAGGCCTTTGTCTTTCGTATAATTAGGTAGGGCTGCAGCAGCTGATCTGCCAGATCAACCCAACCCATAGGCCTTGATGCACACTAGCTTCCTTGTGCTCTAAGCTCTGCCACGTACAGGGACCTCCACAGTCCCCTCAGTGTGGATGGTGGTAAGAAGGTACACATCCTTCTTGTCTCTGTACTTAACTGCCAACAGCTCCTCTTGGCGCAGAGCTGAGGTCTCCCCCCTTCGTAGCCGGGTGCATGCAAGTTGTCCTGGGAAACCTGTGCTCTTCTTTTTATTGTGCCGCAAGCTACCATATCAAAACAGTACAGTAGCTTGAACAAAGGGACACTTGTATAAAAATTGTCAGTATACAAGTGGTACCCTTTGTTCATCAGGGGAAATATCAGGTCCCAGACAATCTTGCCACTGGTTCCCATATGTTCTGGGCAACCTGGAGGGTCAAGGTGGCTATCCTTTCCCTCATACACCCGGAAGGCCTGAGTATACCCTGAGTATACCTAGTCTCGCTATCACAGAGCTTATACATCTTTACACCATACCTAGAGCGCTTGGAAGGAACATACTGCTTGAATCCCAGCATTCCCTTATACTTCATCAGGGATTCATCCACGCATATATTGCTTCCAGGTGTATAAGCCTCTGCAAACCTGGCAGCGAAGTGGGTAATCAGGGAGCGGATTTTATACAGCCTGTCAAACTGGGGATGCTCCCTAGGGGGACACAGGCTGTTGTCGCTGAAGTGCATGAAATGTAGAATCATTTCATACCTCTTCCTCGACATACATTGGGAGTAAATGGGGGTAGAGCAGATGGAGCTACTGCTCCAGTAGGAGTGGATGGAGGGCTTCTTTATGATGCCCATCAGCATAAATGGCAATAATAAATAGTCAATGCCCAGAATCTTTTCAATTCTGGCACATCGATGGGGGCCCATTGCTGCTTTGCCAAAAAAGAGTCAAGATTTGTAGCTCGGAATTGATGGGCATATAAATTAGTTTGGGCGTCAATGTTCCCCAATACATCATCGCCCAGAAACACCTCCAAAAACTGCTGAAGGCTAAATCCTGTGACATCCAAATTAATGCCAGGATTTGCAGTAAAGGATGGGATGTCTGGCCTCTGGCGATGAGGCACTACCCACTACTCAGCAGTACTGCCAGCTGGAGCAGCACGTCTCCTTCTGGCAGGGGGACTAGCAGGCACAGATACAACATCACTAGATACATCACTAGCAGCAGACACTGTATCTAGTGATGATGTATCTGAGCACCTGGCAGGGTCAAAATCAGGGTCGGAGTCTGACATAGACGTGTCAGACTCTAGCGCAAGGGTGGCATATGACTGCTCAGCACTGGTTGACTTCTGTGACCCATGTGACATGATCACAATCACTTTACTTAGTGACCTGTCACAAAAAAAAAAAGACAAATATTAACCCCTAAAAAAATGAACAGACAGCAAAATAAGTGCTGCTGTGCAAGAGCCTGTGATATGTATAGTGATCACTGGCAGGACAGGGGTTAATCGTTCTGAAAAGAGCTTTTGGGTCTCACAAAAAAAGAGCCATTGATTATAGTGATCACTGGCAAGATAGGGGTTAATGGCTCTGAATAGAGCCTTTGGGTCTCAAGATTTTACAAATCCCTACCTATAAATACCTAATTCTCTCTAGCTAAACCACAGATCTCTCTCCCTCTCTCACTAAAACACAAGTGAAGAGAGGGAGGCAGATCCACACTAATCCGAGAAATGGGGAACACACTTGGGATGAAATTGCTAATGGGGCAAGCTGTGATTGGATGACCCCAGCCTGCCCCTTATGATGAGGCAGGCTAGGGACACCCCCAGAAGCCCCTTTAGAAAGGGAGGGGGGGGGTTAATATTGATCATTTTATTTATTTTATATTTATTTTTTTATATATATTATTATATATGAAGGACCCCTCGAGGCAGAGCATCACTGCAATACTATCAGAGCTTCCAGCGCTCAAAATATCTGCGGACGTACCAGGTATGTCCAAGGTCATTGTGAATGCTTTCCTATGAGACTGGCTGAATGCGCACGCGGCTCTTGCCTCGCATGCGCATTCAGCAGAGGAGGAGGAGAGCTCCCCGCCCAGCACTGAAGAAAGAGGTAAGTTTAACCCCTTCCACCCCCTAGAGCCCGGCCGGAGGGGGACCCTGAGGGTGAGGGCACCCTCAGGGCACTATAGTGCCAGAAAAACAAGTATGTTTTCCTGGCACTCTAGTGGTCCTTTAATGTTACCTTTTTATTTCTGGGAACAGCAGAAAATCCAAGTCGAAATTGATCCAAACTTTATAAAAGGGTATGCAAATATTGAAAAGGCTTTTGATGCTAAACTTTATTAATTAATTTCAATCTACTTCAACTACATTGCGTATCCTTTTTTCTAAGAGTGTAGTATGTTAGTCTTAATTTGTATGCAGGTTTTCTGGGCTTTTTTGGAGAATTGACAACGACAGTTGAGCCCTACCTGCTGCCAATAAATGAGTGTTAATTTCTTAATTGTAGACATTTCTGATCCTGGAAATCTTTTTACATCATGCAATTTAGTGTCATTTTTTTCCCCCTCATTTATAATTTTACAATCTCCCCAACAAATCTAGTAAGTACAGTCAATATTTATAAAAAAGATAAAAACAAACAGAGGAAACATATAGCTAAGGTCTGTGAAAGGAATTAAGTATAAGAGTGACAGGTGCACATCAGAATAGTGCCTCTCATGTTAATTACAACCCCACTTGTAATTCTAAGCTCACACAAGCAGAACCCTCAAAATCCTGATTTGACCACCAGAGGGTGTTCCTCAGATTTAACAACACTCACTGATTGCACATGCTAGAGTTACCAGAGACTCATTTTAAATGACTATTTGGGACCTAGAGCTGACAGTCTAAACCATGGGTCATCAAACTCCGGCCCCCCAGGATGTTGCTGAACTACAACTCCCATGATTCTCTGGCTATCTATGTAATTCAAAGAATCATGGGAGTTGTAGTTCAGCAACATCTGGGGGGCCGGAGTATGAGGACCCAGGGTCTAAACCCACCCTTAAATGTGCAATGTCAAGAACAAAACTGCTTGTATATTGTGGTTTTATTTTTGTTTATTTGTTTTATATTCTTTATTCTATGTTAGATGTTTAAGTCAGGCTGAAATTAAAAAAATATATATTTTTGAAAGTTTCTACATTTTGAAACGTAGTGTTCTTGTGAAATCTTGTGAATCTTTTCAAAACAGGTACACACAACTACAATTTACTTTCTACATTACTCTGACAGGTTGAAGCCGTTGAAATGCAAATAAAATTATGCTTTGTAGCATAAATCTGATTTATTTTCCATTTCCAATATGTTGACTATTTGTTGAAATATATTTTGCGCTGTTTTTGTGTCTATCCGTTCTATAGCACCATAATTACAAAAAGCTGCAATTAAGCTGCCACGATATGAGGAGTTGGGACCAGAATTAAGGCAGAATTGTTAACTCTAGTGGAATACAATGTCATAAAGTGGGTGTTTCATCCTGGCGCACATGTAGACTAAACTAAACGTATGCACAACCAACGCAGGAAAGTCCTCAATCTAGCACAGATTTAAGAGCATTTAAATATGCGGTTGTACTGCATTTTGTTAAGGTTTTCTTGGGCGTTCTAAATCTGCGGCATAAAATTGGGACTAACTTGCTGAAATTGGTACTTTTGTCAAGTATCTCATCTCAAAACAACGCAAACAAAAAATCTAGAATAGTCAAATAAATTCCCTTACACTCAAACGAGAACAATCTTGAAAGTAACAGCTTGTTGCAATTTTGAGAAAGGATTACAACAAAGTATTAGTAATGTTTAAGTCAGAAGACAAAAATCTGAGATAACAGCCCCATATGAGAAAAATAAAAAAATGAATTAGTCTGAAGGCACATCAGCCAAATAACCCGAGCACAACAAGAAATAGCCAATACTCACAAGAACCAGAGGCTTGCTCAACGCAGACTCAAACATTCAGCTGTCAGATACAATACAGGACCTAATAGAGAGTAATAAATAAATGTTAATTTAAACATTTACGATTTTAAATCAAACTAAATTATTTAATAAAATGATAAACCATTAACAATATTACAATAAATAATATTTTGCTTTTGTTTTTAAGCATTTTTAAACCAGCATTGTTGAAAAGGTAGCTCCCTATATGTAGTAGTACTAACAATGTAATGATGCTTAGCCAGTCTTTGGAATGGAAAAGCGTCATGGGCATTGTAATTCTCAAATTTCTGAGGATGAGAGACTGAGCCTGATCCTCGCGCTGTGCAGACGTGCGGTTCCCTATCATCAAGCTTTTCAGAGGACCATCATACATGTACTGGGCCATGGGCTCCCGGGCGTAAAGACATATACCTTTCCTGGAACCTTTAAGTACCGGGTGCTCAGATAAGCCTGCTGCGGCCTGCTGGGAGCAGAGTTGGGGAAATGCGGCTGACCACCTGGTTCTTTTGCTCCTGGCTCAGACCCACTGCACTCCCACCCATTCCTCCCTTTGGACCGTTGGAGGTTATCCAGGTCCCCTCTGGACAAGAGCATGCTGTTTCGCCTATACTTACCACTTGGTTGAAATGGATACTGAATTGGTCTCTGTCTCGCCAAGATGGCGGCTGTCTATCTAACCGACTTACATGGCGTGAGTTCACTACAGATGGCCCACCACAATTCCACTCCACTCTACTTGAAGTGGCTCGATGAGATCTTCCACCAATTCTGGCAGTCACTGCTTGCACGTAACTCTGCTTACAGACTGCAGCAGCTGCCGGGAGACTGGAGAAGCACAGAACCGCTGATGAGGAGGCCTCTTCGGGGCAGAAATATCAAGCGGCAGAAGCTGAAGCAACCTCACATCAACCAACTCAGGATGAGAGCCATGCGAGGCTTGACCTTACCGCTACACCGATATTGGTGGAAGATTAACCACCGACGGCAGCAACAGTCACCTACACCTCTTGCACAGGCCTGGGGCTGGAGGGGCACTTTGTCTTGTGTTGTCTTCCATGGAGGAGAAGTAGTGCTGACACTTAGAGGAGTTGGCTGAACTGAGCTTCCGGTTTATCACCTTATCTGATACTGTTTTATTTGTTTTTACAGTCCGGCAACTCGTGTCAGTTTATATTTCCTGTTTATATTATAAGCTTGATGTGACATAGTACCATGATGTGACTGGGTCCAGAGGTATTATTAATCCTCATGTTACCCCCTAATATAGCTTGTCACCAATTGCATATCACTCAAAGGTAGCATACACGCAACAGTTTATTCTCCTTACTTGTCATTGTTTAACATTTAAAAATGTGCAGCTTTTCTTGACATTTTGTGCTCTGACTATAAACCTGTACCCACTATTTGTGTTTGCACCATGTGTCACTGTCAATCTATGTCTGTTTCACTGCTCACCCAAAATAAAGAATGTAAGAAAAAAACGTCTGATGTTCCACCTTTTGGGCACGTGTGGTTTAAACCTTTTCAGTCGATAAACAGTCCTGTTCAGTTAACTCATTTCCTAGAACCATTCACAATGTTCCTTAAGGGACACAATATCTGTAAAAGACACCCAGGGTTATTTACTAAACTGTTGGGAATTTAAAGTGAATCTAAATTTAAGTTCATAGTAGCTGAACTGAAACCATAGTTGGCATGAAGAATTTTTCCAGTTCAGCTGCTTTGGCCTTGAGTTGAAAAGTCACTTTTAATTCTTGACAATTTTCACTTGCGTAAATAGCCCTGACAGTGAACAATAGTGCACCAAAAACCGAATTACAAAATTCAGGAAGTTTAATGCCAAAAAGTTGTATTCACACAAAACTAAACACAATAAATATACATGACATTTTAATCAAAACTAAAAATGGTACTGTGAGAGTGCAAAATCTATAAATACGATGTAGTGGTTATGGTGTACACAACCCTTTTATTTGATGAAGAAGACAGCAAATCCATTCATTTTAATGGAACATCAATTTTGTTTGAGCGGTATCAGAGGAAGCTAAATATGTCTATTGTTACTATGATGCTGTATTGTTCTACCCACACACGACAGAACTATTAATGGAATGCAGTCAAAGATCTATTGCACTGTGCGTAGCTATTGCGGTACACAAATAAAGTTCTCTATTTGCGTTGGATTGGAAGTGTCGGAGATACATTTCTGCATTTCACCAAGTTTTATTTTTTCGTGTGGCTTTAAAATTTTACTTTTTGATACACTGATCAACTACAACATTAAAATCACTTTTTTCAGTGTGCATTATCCTGCTGACAGAGGCCACTGCCATAAGGAAACACCATTGTCATGAAGGGGTGTACGTGGTCTGCAACAATCTCTAGGTAGGTAGTAGGTGTCAAAGTAACATCCATATGAATACCAGGACCCAAGGTTACCCTGCTGAATATTGCCTCTGCTGGCCTGCTTTCTTCCCATAGTGCATCCTGCTCTCATCTCTTCCCAAAGTAAATGACTCATGTGCACCTGGCCATTCACCTGCTCTAAAAGAAACATGATTCATCAGACCAGGCAACTTTCTTCTATTGCTCCATGGTCCAATTCTTAGGCTCACATCCCCATGGAAGGAGATTTCGGCGGTGGACAGAGGTCATCATGGGCACTTTGACTTGTCTGCAGCTTTGTAGTCCCATATGCAGCAAACTGCAATGCACTGTGTGTTCTATGGCCAGCATTACGCTTCTCAGCAATTTGAGCTACAGTAGCTCTTTAATGTGATCGGACCAGACAGGCTTGCCTTAACTCCCCACATGCACCAATGGGAGCCCTTGGGAGCCCATGACCCTGATGCCGGCTTCCCGGTTGTCCTTCCTTACTCCACTTTTGGTAGGTACTAATCACTGCATACCGGGAACACTTCACAAGACTTGCTGCTTTGGAGATGCTCTGATCCAGTTGTCTAGCCATCACTATTTGGCCCTTGTTAAAGTCAATCAGATCATATCGCTTGCCCATTTTTCTGCTTCCAACACATGTAATTCAAGAATTACTTGTTCCCTTCCTGCCTAATATACCCACCCCTTGACAGGTGCCATTGTAACAATATAATCTATGTTATTAACTTCACCTGTCAGTGGATTTAATGTTGTGGCTAATCAGTGTCATAAAAATATACTGTAAAACATTATTTTAATAAATATATATTTGTTGAGAGAGAGACATAAAGAAAATGCATAACGATGAACCATGTATTCTGGGACCATGTATTTTCGGGGTTCTGGAGATATGTATCATTCATAGTTAATAAATTATACCTAGTCTTCCATGGCTTATTTCCCCATAATACACAGTTCTTTGTAATGTACTCTCTCCGTTCTTCGTGTAGATACCTTTTCATTTAATGTATCATTATGACTTGTATATATTCAATCTATTCCGCAGTGCTGTATACCAGAATAATACAGTCCCAGGAAACTGGAAATGTTTAATGTCAAATCCAGTGTAACAATGCTCATTCTTCAAGATCCAGATTAACTTAAACTGTTTGAATATGTCACTCACAATCAGCCTGATGCCTTGAATGCAGAGGCTTCACAATAAATCATGGGAAATTGGTGTCACTGAAAAAAAAGGTGCTTGCTTCTCTCTCCTTTCATCTGAGATTCCATTGTATCTCTGCAGCTGTCAAACCGCGTTGGCGTACTCCTGTTTAGTAAGACTGCTATCCATCCACCAAGAAAAAATATATATACTAATGTTTCAATTTCTGTAAATGCTTAATTTCTACATCTCTCTTCCAGTGACTGCTAAATGCCTACTGCCATGTATAGGATACAACTTAAATCCAATAATGAAACTACTAATTACACTTAGGGAAAAGGCAACGGTCGTATCTCTATGACGTAAAGAGAACAGATTATATTCATAAAGCCAATCACCAGATTCTCAGTCTTCGTGCTCTGCAAGCATTTATGTAAATCAAGCAATATGACAGTTAGGGGATAATTTACAAAGGCAAAAAGAAGTACCCTTTGGAGGCAAAGTGCTAATTAAGGAATAATCTCCATGGAAACCAAAGAAATGGAGCTCAACTTTTTAACACTTTCGACCAGAAAATCATGTTTCATCTTATAATACCTCCCCTAGTGTCCCGTGGCTCCATCAGCTACTTGCAAGAGAAAAGGACCAAAGATCACTCCATCTGGCTCACACCAGTAGAAGCATGTTCCGTCCTTCTCATGTCTGTCACTCACAATGGCACAATGGTATGTTTAAAAATAATAGACAATGCATGTAAAGATTTAGACATATTGAATGTAGTACAACCATCTTAGCACATACGGAGTGCTGCATCGGGGCTTCACTTTAATCTTTCCTATAATTTCCTAGAGGAAAGGTGTCTGACGTGAGCTTGCTTTCACTGAGGAAATTTAAGGACTACATTTCAACGTCCTATGGATATAGTGTGGTAAGAGTATGGCAAGAGATGAGAAATATGGTTAGATAAGGCGGTAAGAAGGAATCTGTAAATTCACTAATCACAGCATTCACACACTGCCTACAGCATTTACATTCTAAGAAAAATACATTTGCATATGATTCGCAAAATGCCTGCATTGCTTATTACATTTCAAATAAGTCCTATTCAATAAATATATACAACTTTGTTTACACAGAGCTCACTTACTGTAAAATGTGTGTAAGTGCATTCCCACAATGCACACTAGATTGACACATTACACTCACACTAACTATCACAAACAAAAATAAAACTATACATTCCCACATTCTGGAAATTCTTTCTAACAATATTGAATCCTTTGGAAATCTTATTAAATAGAGGCCTTAGTGTCAAAGTGTCTTCATGACACTGGGTAAGTCAGTGTTGCTACAGTAAACAATTTATGGCGGACAGTTGCTTGGCAACAGATGATGAAGATATGTTTGTTACAAAAAATGAGGACCCCCCTAAAATAACCTGGGCTCAGATTCGGCTCTCACCCTAGAGGTTAAGAACCACAGCACTAAAGGACATATCTTACTTAAACTCACGTGCACATCACTGCAAAAATGTATCTAGACGCTCTTTAAGAGAAAGAAAATGACATATCTCTATATTTATAAAATTGATTTTCCGTCTCACACCTTTACAGTCTCTAAGCAGTGCCAATATGCAATCACTCCGTAAGTGTCTCCTTAATCTCCACCTTTGCTGGTAGAAGTATGTTTTTTTATTCTGGTTTATTCATGAGATGTAGAGCCATGCGAAGGATCAAAGTGCCTCTTTTACCAGCAGTATGCTACACTTAATTATGTTGCTGCCCCATGCCTTGCGTCTGTTCCAGGAATCATCTGTTTTCTGATGACCATATTAACACATAGATTTTGTCTCTGTACCTCAAGCATCCTGAACAGTAAATTTTTCACAGGGTCACCTAGTGCCACTAATAGGATTTCACACTAGACCTGCCAGTTGGAATAATTGGAAATAGTGACAAAGTAACCCTGCATCCAGTAATAATAATACCATTTTTTGTTGTTGTTCGTTTTAAATCAAACAAAGTGAGTCACTGTTTTGTAAAGTAATGATAGAAAATGCACTGTTTAATTTTTTTTATAATTGGAAAAGTGCTTAAAAGGCACCGAAATGGGAAAGCCGTAAATCAAATGTGATTAGATTATTAGATTAGATGCACAGTTATCAGCGTGCATCCATTTTAAGTCATTATAAACATTCTTCTTCAATTAAATCTAGCCAAAAATTATACTGATAAAATCAGCAATTGAGAATGAGTTTGTTTCTATTTCTATACTGTTATTTTTTTCATAACTAGTGTTCCTTCTGACTACTCACTCTTCCCCTCTCCCCCATCACATAGTCATTGAATAAACCCAATGAGTCACAATAGCCATTTTATATCACAGCAAGATTCAGCACTGACTGTCTTTGATGAGTAACATCCAAACAAAAAGGTATTGAAAAATCATTTTTATAGTGATTTTGTGAATATACAGTATTTTTTTTAAAAACAATACTAAAATAAAACTGATGAAGTTTTGATTAATTTATTGGTTTACAAAATATGTTCAATTTCATCACTCCTTTCTAATGGTAATAGAAATGGCGAACTGTAGTTTAAGGTATCTTGAAACAAAAAAAAAATGTTCTTATGTGTTCAGAATGGAAGTTCACAAACCTGGGGATGTTCTAATTTGCAATTACAAGGCTGACTAAATCTTTTTATATTTAATTAACTCTAAAGAAACTGGGGAATCGTCATTTTACAAACTTGCATAGATACTGTCTTGCATTCAGATTTAGAATACAGTGCAATACATATGAAACTTGGCAAATGCAAAAAATGCATTAATCTCATTAACTCCTTTACTACCAAGTGGTTTGCAAAAATGTACCCACAGAATTCTAGAACTTTGGGTGTCCTGGAAAGTAATGTTTAAATGTATGTGCATTATCCTGCTGAAAGAGGCCACGGCCATTAGAGAACACCATTGCTATGAAGGGATGTTCCTGTGAAACTCACTTCCCTCCTCCATTAGATGCTCACCCAGTTTCCACTCCTTAAAAAAACCCCATTAAAACCCCACTTCTTCCAACTGATTCCTCTCTTGCAACTGTCATTAGTCTAATACTATCCTTACCCTTTGTGTCACTATACCCCACTCCTTCTAGCATGTAAGCTCATTGAGCAGGGCCCTCAACCCCTCTGTTCCTGTGCGTCCAACTTGATTGGTTACAACTACATGTCTGTTCGTCCACCCACTGTAAAGTGCTGCGGAATTTGTTGGCGCTATATAAATAATAACATAATAATAATGTACATGGTCTGCAACAATCACTAGGTAGTTGGTACGTGTCAAAGTAACATGAACATGAATGTCAGGACCGAAGGTTTCCAAGCAGAACATTGCTCGGAGCATAACACTACCGGCCTGCATTCTTCCCATAGTACTTCCAGCTGCCATCTTTTCCTCAGGTAAACGATGCGCATGCCCCCGGCCATCCACCTGATCTAAATGAAAACAGGATTCATCAGACCAGGCAACCTTCTTCCATTGCTCCGTGGTCCAGTTGTGACACTCTTATTCCCATCTAAGGTACTTTAGGTGGTGGATAGGGGTTATCATTGGCACTATGACCAGTTGAAGCTACGCAGCCCCACAAGCAACAAACTGCTATCTGTTTGGACACCTTTCTATCATGGCCAGCATTACGTTTTTCAGAAGTTTGACATGCTAGCCTTCACTCGCTAAGTGCATCGATGAGTCTTGGGCACCCAAGAAACTGTCACAATTTCACCAGTTGTCCTGCCTTGAACCACTGTTGGTAGGTACAAACCAGTGCATACTCGGAACACCCCACAAGACTTGCTGTCATTTAGTAATCACTATTTTGCCTTTGTCAAAGTAACTCACATCTTTTCGCTTGCCTTTTCTCCTGCTTCCTACACATGACATTCAAGAACTGGCTGTTCACTTGTTGCCTAATATATTCCACCCCTTGACAGGTACCATTGTAACAATATAATCAATGTTATTCACTTAACCTGCCAGTGCAGCTGATAAGTGTATATTGTATCTGTTGCCATATTACTATGACATTTGCCATACCAAATCGCCCTTACATTGCGTTTTGAAGCCATGTTGCCACTATGGACATGCACACAAATATTTGTTCACACATACACACGCACACTGATGCACACATGCAGATATTTTCTGATACAAACACATATATACACACACTCTGATACACACACACACACATAGAAACTGATGTACAGAGACATCCAATGAAACACAGTAACAAATACAGACACACAATCAGAAAAAGGTTCTGGTTGTAGTGTTGTTAACTGTCTGGACATGTCTGGATTTTTTATATGATATATTCTTTTTGATATTTTAATTGTTTGAAAAAAATCATTATAAATCATATGAAAAAATATTAAATCATATGAAAAACTCAACCAAAAATATTAAGTCGTGGCATTCGTCAGCTGATCATGTGCTTGGATTGTCCTTTTAACAATTATCATCTCTTTAATAATGAAAAAAACATTTGCTAGCACATCAACTACGTTTTTTTCACGGCTATAAACTTGTCACTACCATAACAAAAGAGATAACATAATGTTACATCCTTGCTGTACAGTTCTATGTACATCTATTCATCTACACATCTATATGATATTTCATGTCGAGCATTTAGTGCAGATGGGATGCAAATCATCAAAGCAGGAGGGGTAACAACAGCAACAAAGGGGAACTGATGTTCACAGCACTGTACTGTTGAATGTGTATATGCATATGAATATATGTATATTAGTTTTAATCTCAATAGGCCTAGACCTGGGACGATAGAATTAAGAGAGAGGAAGTCTCCTAGTCTGTATTCATTTATTTATTTCAAATAAGACATATTTTCACCCCAGAACTTCCACAGGTCTTTGAAGGGCTTTAGGGTTTAAAATTACACCTTAGGCACCAAACCTTAATTTAGTATTTAAATCACTATGTTTTTGCAGCTCTAGCCCCACCACCCATTTTTAACCCTGACTCCATGAAAACAATATTTAATTTTTACATTACAGAATGTTTTTATAGATTTTTTTTTAAAAAAGTTCTTATCTCCTGCTCAGGTAACGGAGCTTTAATCAAACACAGTAGGCAGTTGCAGGCTTTAGTAGGTAATTAAAAGAGCACTTGATAAAAATTCTCAATTAATTAATGTGAAAGGATGCTACATGCTTAGAGCTCGCTTTGACAGAGGATGCCCTCTTACACACGTTATAAAAGTAACAATTTCAAGAGAAATCTGCACTTTTATAAGGTATCTGGATTGTACCCTCCCAGCTGTCAATCATACAGCCAGGACACGACTCTTCCTCATGCTCTTTGCTCCTCAGCACAAAGCATTAGTGAGCCTTCCCATATGAGAGCATTGCTTTCATCTATAACTGTGTTCCAGGTGCAGTGCAGTACTTGCTGCTCTTTCAACCTGAGTCCTGATGTTTCTCCATTTATAACAGACTGGAGAAACATCAGAACTTAGTTTGAAAGAGCCCCGATTACTGCACTGCACCTGCAACAATCTATTAACAGTAGAGTTTTCTTTCAAATGAAATAAATCTGTAGTCATAACATACAGTGTGGGTGCAGTGAACTCTCACTACCCCCAATTCCTCTAAGCATCCTTCCCTAGAGTTAATCCTGCTGTCATGTGGAGTGATAACCTACACCAGATATACAGCTTTCAGTTGCTGAAGATCATTTTAAAATGAGACTGTAGTGTATGCATGTGTCAGTGAGAGTAGGTGCCTGTGTGTATGTCAGTGAGCATGTGTGTGTATGTTTAAAGCAAGTGTGTGTATGTTTAAGTGAGGGTGTGTCTGCCTGTGTCTGTCTTATAATATAAGATCAACGTTTATAGAATCGGTGCTTACCAGATGCTAAATAGAGTAAGAGTACCAGCCCTGCCAAGAGGTATAAGACCAAAAGAGCTATGTACTTCACATTGACATCTTTCCTTGATGCATGTTTACCCAAGGGGAAGACCAAACAAACACAAACACGTCGCATTTTGTTAGCAGAAAAAATAAAAATTTTAGCAGGAAGAAATAATAAAAAAGATTCACTGTACCAGATTTGGTGAGAAATCTCTAAGAGAGGTTATTTCTATTTTTAACATATGTATTACCATGTCATGAAAATAAACTTTAAAACAATGGATATATAGCCCAAAATAGAATAAGCCATGTGTTTTTTCTTATCAGTTATACAATGTTCCTCATAATATGGTGGCAATCAATGAAGATTCTTATGAGTGGACATCATGGCTACCTTATTTTGAAAGGCTATTAAAGGTCTATCTTAGCTTTGCTTCTGCATTTCCCTACTTTTCCTCCAGAATTCACCAGTTCTGCGAAGGGTTTCAATGTGTACATTTATTTGCGACATATGCTACTCTGGACATCTGATCGGATAAGGGTATTTTATTCTGACATGTCTTTTGGCCCTTGTGAGCCTCTCACATAAATAGGGGTGGACAACTGGAGGGTGACTTTAATCGCCAACAGATAAAACCAAGAAAGCATTAGCCCAGAGAGTGATTAAATGACAAAGATGAATATCATTCTCATGGCATATCAAGTGAACACCAAATGTCTAAATTTCATTGCAAGGGAGAGATACCCAACAATCTTCAGGAGATGCCATAGTGGATACATAATATATTTACACAACTGTATTCTGTGTTTGTTTAAAACAGAGGTATCCAAAAGGTAGATCCCCAGATGTTGTAGAACTACAACACCCATGATGCTTTGCATGCCTTTAGAATGACAAAGCATCATGGAAGCTGTAGTTTGAAATCATCGAGGGATCTACCTTTTGGGCACCCCTGGTGTAAAGCACCTACCTATAGTTACAAAAACACACACCAACCCAAAGAACGATGGGATTCTCAGCCCCATCTTGGTCTCCAGAGAAGCTACAGATTTGCAGAAAAATACAAACATTCCACAATTTTTGTTTTTTTCCTTTTCTCAAAGTATACATTTTTAAAAACATATATTTAATCTCAAAAATATGTTGCGTGATAATGCCTGATCTGTATGCTCATATGTTTATGTACCATTATTTGACAGCTCTTTATATTTCTGTGCATGATTTTGTTTTTGCAATAAAATTAAGTAGAATTTTTTTGTAAATGGTAAACAAATTGTCCTTCAATGTATATTTCAGACATGCAATAAAGGCAATTCTATACTATACAGTGTAATTGCTATTTTGTAAAAAATAATTTAATAATTCTACAGAATGTCTAGTTAAAGCAAAATTCTATTTGTTTCCTACTTGGCCTGGAATACTTGAACATTTGTGACAACTGTATTAAACCAATTTACCTTTAAACTGGATTTCCTTTAAGGCAATGGTATATTATATTTACAGGGTACATTTATAAAAAAATGTATAACACATTCCATACAGTTAGTAAGCTTCTTGCCCAGCAGTAGGCTTGTTGCCTACCTATGATAGTCATTAAAGGCTGTGACAATCAAACATGGCCGCATAACAAATTATTAATTGAACATTATAATGATTTTCTCTGTACTTGTGTATAGCATAATGAAAACTATGCACAAGTATTGTGCTAATCTCAGATGTGCCCTCATAGTCCCCAAGTATTATTTATGTTAAACAAAGTTAGATATTGTTAATTGACCCCTCCACTTCAAAGTGCTTAAAGGATCACTATAGGGTCAGGAACACAAACATGTATTCCTGACCCTATGGTGTTTAACCTAGCATTTAGGTGGCTAGTCCCCATAAGAAAGTTTAAAACTTATTTCCAGGGCTGCGCGGGTCTGCCGGTGCTGGCCCCACCCCTTTTTTTTGTAAAATTGGCACGTGGGCGGGGCCAAATGCAATTTCGGCCAATCATGACCTTGAATCAATGCATCGCTATGAGGAAAATTCAGTGTCTCCAACTGAATGGCAGGACTGCTTATTGTGCAGCCCTGAGCCAGTAAGCCCCTCCAGTGGCCATCTAAGGAGTGGCCACGTGGAAGTGTCCCTAGGGGCAATGTAAACACTGCCATTTCTTATATGAAAATGCCTGAAAGGAGCTATTATACTCACCAGAACAACTACATTAAGCTATAGTTGTCCTGGCGACTCAAGTGTCCATTTAAATCAAGTATCCACACATTAGATGTTGTTTGGCATAGCTCAATGTCTGAGGAGATAATTTTTGCATTATTCCACCTTGTCCTGTATGGGATTTGATATCTTTTGTTTTTAATTGACTTGTCACTTACTCTTTGTATTTCCCAAAATATTTTTTTTAAACAAACTAACTAATATAATGTTAACGTGTCATCCTACATGTGGATTTAAAAATGTTATGGTCCTGTTGTCTTTTTGTCTGAACTGATCATTAACAAGCTGTGTATTTAAGAGTCTGAATTATTTTAGTCAGGTCCATTTATTTTTGCATCTTCAGCCTCACTTAGATTAAAACTACAACAATCGTACTGAACCCTTCCTAGTTTGGAACCAACCTAGAACAGGGCTTTCATGCTATTTCCAGAAACAAATTAATTATTCCAGGAATAACTACACTTTGTCTCTGAATCTGTTAAGCTCTATCACATGAAATGGGCAGGACTCCCTTTAAGGTGAACACTATAGTCACCCAGAGTACTTAGTCTCAATAAAGTGGCCTTGCAGTACTTGTTCTGTCATTTTAACCCTACAATGTAAAACATAATATTTTTTTTAGAAACGGCAATGATTACATTGCAGGGTTACGTCAACCCTTAGTGTTCCTAAAACTCAGTCTGGGAATCAAATGCTGCTGATCGGATCATTTGATGGATGGAGTTCAGCGTTTGGCCGCACATGGGCATCTCTACGAGAAGCAATGTATTAAAGGATATTGAGGGTAATGTCAGTTTGGATAATTACATCATCGGAGACAAATCTGGACGCTGCAGTAGATGAATTCCAGTGCTACAAACAAGGTGAGTAATCTTTTTTTTTTAGCTTTAATTGTAGCAGCAAAGGTGTGTGGACAAAAGAGGTTCAAACAGAAGGGAATCTATAGTTCCACAATAACAATTGCTATTTTGGACCTGTAGGCTCCCTTTAATACAGGGTATAGAGAAGAACTGCCTGGGGCCCATGGAAATTGGTAAGATGCCAAAACACAAGACTATACCAAGACCTGAGGGATGCATCCTCAGCACCCACTTATTCTTCTCCATGGAGCAATAAAATTCAAATTACACATTAGGAGCTACAGGCAGCCAAATGATGAGTGTGTGTTTTGTCTCCGTCCAACACCTCCTCAATTCAATTACTTCCAGAACTAAGCAGGTGACAGTCAGTTTTTTCCTTCCCTTTCCACTCCCAGTAGACAAAGTGCCTCAGTCAATTGTCTCTCCTAGATCTACTCAGAGAAGAATACGCTGAATAGAATACATAGAAGACTTCAATGCCCATGGGCTCCAAAGGGGAGAGAGAACACAAAACACTGGGGCTAGGGCACAATGTTTAATCATGGCAAGAGGAAGCAGAAGATGGATCAGATAAAGGCAAGGAAAATAATTAACCCATTGCAATGTCATATGGTGGGAAGCACACAACGAGGGCCAGCATACTTGGGACAGAGATCATTAAAGGACAAAGGTAGTAAAAACGTCTTTGTCCCTTTTCTATGAGCAAAAGATGATAACTCATTTAACTGTTTGACAACAATCGACATTGGAGACATAAATTGAGAAATATTCATAATTCATTTGTATTTTTAGTGGGGGGAAGGGGTCTTATGGGATTGTATGGGAAGAACACGCACATTAGCCTATATTTTGGACACCACTTAGTTGTATGCAATCATTATAATTATAATGTTTTGGGATAGAGGATTGGAGATCAGCATCCTCTTGCTGACGAGGCCTAATGGAACATTTGGATAGGTTTAGTTGTGTCTAGAAGAGGATTACTAGATTTAAAGGATGGACTGTGTTGATGTAGTCAGATTGATATTTCCCCTCTTTTTGTTGTTGTTGTTGTTGTTGTTAGATAAATGGGATTGCACCATGAGATTCAACCCCCAACAGCATCTGAAAATGAGGGGGGAGGGAGGGAGGAAAGAAGGAAAGAAGGAAGGAAGGAAGGAAGGAAGGGAGGAAGGGAGGAAGGGAGGAAGGAAGGAAGGAACTAACTTGTGGTTTTTAAACTTTAGGCTAAACTATGAGTCCATACGATGTTTAAAGCAAAGCTTTTAAACACTTAAAAATAGTGGGTTTCTAATTAAAAATTAATAAAGATTTTTTTTCTTTAAAAACTGCAACAAAAAAAAAATCACATAGAGTGCTGTTAATAGGCTCAGCTATCCCTCCAGCTCAGCTATCCCACCCCCACCTCAGCTATCCCACCCCACCTCAGCTATCCCCCCAGCTTAGCTATCCCAACCCCACCTCAGCTATCCCCCCACCTCAACTATCCCCTGGCTCAGCTATCTCCCCAGCTCAGCTAACCCCTCCCCCCGGCTCAGCTATCTCCCCAGCTCAGTTATCTCCCCAGCTCAGCTAATCACCCCGCCTCCCCATCTCAGCTATCCCCAGCTCAGCTATCCCCCAGCACAGCTATCCCCAGCACAGCTATCCCCGGCTCAGCTATCCCCCAGCACAGGTATCCCCCCGGCTCAGCTATCTCCTCAGCTCAAATAACCCCCAGCTCAGCTATCTTGTTCCACATTCTGTGAAAAATTGTTACTTATCCATAGTTCCTGGTTTACAGAATAATCTCAACACTGTTGTTCAACTGTCTAAAACTAGATGATTAATTTGCTAAATATCTTGCCTTTTTCATGTTTTCATGATGCTTGCACGTGGGTTGAAGGTAAATGTTCTAAAAGTGGGAGTAAATGATGAAATCAGTTTCCTGTAGATTAAAAAGGGTGGAAATCTAGGCAGGCACACACACTGGTATTTTGTGACAGACAATTACGGTAATTCTGCTAATCGTCTGAACAAAGAGAGATGTACAATGCGTCAGGACACAAACAATGACCTGGCAGGCCACAAAAGGATTCTTTTGCTGAATCTGAAAAGGCAACTTACAAACAAAATCCCAAATAAAATGCCTATAGTCAGCACTGTCTGTATGCAGAACTAGCTGCACATCAAGAAACATCATGTTACAGCAAATAACTGCATCGTCCAGCTTAATCAACAGCAACAGAGTTATATCATCCACACCGAATGTTGGCACCTTAGATGTTTCTAAACTACATTTCCGATAATGCTCATCGAGCATTAACTAAAGGTACCCAGACCAAATGATCTCAATGAAGTGGTCTGGGTGCAGTGGCCCTTTAGTTTTAAACATGCTATCTAAAAACATTGCCGTAAGATACAGCAAAGTTATGATAGCTGGGTTAAATATGCCTCTAGTTGCTGTCTTCCTGACGGCCACTGGAGAACCAATCAAACTTGGCTCTCACAGCAAACCTCCTCAAATGCTCTTCTTGTAGAGCATTAGACTGGCGCAGTGTGGTGATTTTTTTTACCCAATGATTGCCTGTTGGGAACATTGGATTGGCTGGGATCATCAATCTTGGATCATCTCAGTCAGAATGGCAGGGCATCAGGACGGAGATTGGCATGGAGATGGAGTAACAAATGATAAATATTTTACCTATTTGTATTGAAAAATACTTTTGGCAAACACTCACAGACACATTCTGAGTATGACTGTCTAAATCATACAAGTCTTTTTAAATAGATAAAATGTATAAATATTTTAAATTCAATATTAAATGCTATAAAGCAATAAGAGGTGGGTAAACACCAGGGCCGATCCTGGGCGGGTGCGTGGGGTGTACGGAGTACAGGTGCCAGAGGATGCTTATTCAGTAACATGGTGCTCCGGAAGTAGGACTTATTCAGTAAAGCACAGCAAGCACCTGCATACCTGGATGGCAGACACCTACTCAGCCAAAATACACCGGGAGAGAAGGAAAAGTAGGCAGGCGCTTATGTTCTTCCAGTTCTTCACTGGTCCCTCACGCTGTCACGGGAGCTGGAATATGACATCACTCTGGCCCCGGGATTACTAAACAGAGCACAAGAAGCAGTGAGGAACTGGAAGAACCTCAGCGCTGAGGCACTGAAGATTGCAGGAACCACTGGACCCCAGGGAGAAGATCCCTACTGAACCCCAGCCAGAGGACTCATGCCAGCTCTCCCAAAGATAGGGAGGCAGAATAGGCCTCAAAAAATAAAACCACAATAAATACAATCAATTTGTGAGTGTATGTGCAAGAATGTGCAAATGTGTCAGTGTGTGTGTTTGTCAGTGAATGAGTCTGTCAGTGCGGGTGTTTCAATCAGTGAGAGTGTGTGTCTGTCATTGAGAGTGTGTATTAGTGCACTTGTCAGTGTGTATGTGTGTGTCTGTCATTGAAAGTGTGTCAGAGTTTCTGTAAGTGTATGTGTGTGTCTGTCAGTGAGTGTTTCAAATCAGTAAGTGTGTGTCATTGCGACTGTATCTGTCAGTGAGTGCGTGTGTGTCTGTCAGTGAGTGAGTGTGTGTCTGTCAGTGTGTGTTTGTGTGTGTGTGTGTGTGTGTGTGTGTGTCTGTCAGTAAGCATGTCTGTCAGTGTGTGTGTGTTTCAAATCAGTGTGATTGTATCCGTCATTGAAAGCATGTGTCAGTGTGTCTGTCAGTGAGTGTGTGTCTGTCTGTGTATGTCAAATCAGTGAGTGTCCGTAACTGTCAGTGAGAGTGTTTCAAATAAGTTAGAGTGTGTGTCAGTTTGTCACTGAGTGTGTGTCAAATCAGTGAGAGTGTGTGTCTTTCATTGACAGTTTCAGTGAGTGCGTGTTTGATTACTAAAAGAGGTGGGACTTACAGATGGAAAGGTGAATGCCTGGACTGGACATATGCAAAGGGGAGGAGTTAGTAAGATGAAGATGTCCACTTGAGGGTGCCAAACAAAAATTCTGCACCCAGGCTTCTGTAACCCAAAGGTCAGACTGGTAAACACTCACTATTTCACAAACTGATACTCTCAGGCACATTTATACATTTACACAGGCACCTCATAAACTCACATACATACATACATACATACATATATCTCACAGGCTAGCTCAGACATATTTATAGTCATACACACAGGTACTCTCGCAGATAGAGGGTATACGGGTAACACTCTATGTTACATACAGACTGCATGAGCACAGACATAAGTTAATCTCCTCTATATGCACATAAAAAAAAAATTGAAATGCCGTCTCATTGCTCGTTTAAATACATTACATTGAATTGCAGTGGCAACCAACTTGAAAACATTAGGTCAAATAGCACAGTTATAAAAGGAAAAGAAATCTCCAAATACTGTGCATCATGTTTCAACTTCTATTCTGTCAGAATTGTATGAGTCAGTTTTCATCACAATTAACTCTTAGGTGAGCAATCCCTATAGTGACTATGGTAAGTAATATTTATCTATAGTTGCTAATTATAAGTTTTGAGAAGTGGTTTACATTTAAAAAGTCATCTAAAGTGTTCCAAATGAGGAGGTGTCTAATAATAAATATATTTCAAACCACGTTCAAAGAGTGTAATGCACTGGACTGAAGGGATTATACTTGTACTTAAAAGAAGTGTTGAATACAATGTCATTTCATTTTGTGATCAATACCGCATAAATAAAAAGAACATAACACAATTCACAGTCCTCAGTTTTCCCGGAGAGTAGTGTTACTTCAAAACAAGGATGTTAAGAGCTCCAGTTTCCTTGCTAGGGAGTGGTAAGCATAGTCCATTCAACAAAGACAGAGCTAATGAAATAACATGGTCATACGAACCAACATCACATACTCACCTGCAATTGTCCTTTCAAATACAGGGTCTATACATTCGGACAATAGAAGCAGGTAATCACGATTACAAAGTAGTCAACATAAAGAGGAAGAACTTAGAGCACCAAAGTCCTTAGCTATTGTGGCTACACATCCCAAATTCTTTAGGGCAGTGCCTAATTTTAAAACTTTGATTCAAGCCAAAATCTATGGGCTTGTTTCCATGCTTATTGGTAAAAAGGAGCTAGTAGAATTTTTTAACAGCAGGCAGATGTTTCTGGCTAAAAAATAGAATCAGGTTTCTGTTTTCTTTTTCTGACTTTATCGTCTGTCTCCACATATACCGACCACCTCTTAGCAATACATTTTTGCAAACTGGAGGTAGATTAAGAAAAAAAAGTGCATTTTCCAAATATTTGCAATAGCAATTCCACTAGGACTTATGTCGTTAAAGGAGCACTTTAAGCAACATGACTACTACTGCACTCTTTAGTGGTAATACTGTCTAGCATTCCTTTATGATATAAACCTTACACCGGCAGGAATTAATGAGATAATTGGTTTATCCATCAAAGGCAGTTCCAAGAATCCAGTGGACAGGGTTAGTTTTAACACTCTGCAAACTTATAGCCTCCATACCACAGCTGATATCAGTTTACAACCAGGCTTTTTACACCAATCAAAAGAAAAGGCATTCAGCAGAAGTTGTACATGTGGCATGTTGGACAAAATTAATATTACGCTACTGGAACCACCTGATTGACAGCTCTGAGAGGCTGTCTTATAGCTGTATGATTTTTACAAATCGCGGCAGTTCTAAACCAGACTCTGAGCTGAGTACAAGTGCTGAGTGCTCATATCACGTTCAACTTTGTAATTATTCAAAGCTGTGTTGGTGCTTAGAGGGACCCATTAAATATTGAATAAATATTTTTTTTTTTAACACAGGTGTACAGGTGTAATTTTAGTCATATAGCAACAAGAAGTATTTTTTTCAGTCTAAAATATGAAGCAGGTGTTATTAGCATTCATCATCTTCTATTAATCTCTATGGAGATGTTATATTTTACAGCAGCCGCTAATTAGCAGTTATTAACAGTTATGGAAACAGACGGTAATCACTATCATTAACAAAACAAATTTGACTGACTTTTTGGTAAATTATTGTGAAGAATAGAAACAAGTTTAAAATGTGCTTAAACAATTATCTGGGAATTCAATAAAGATTGATAAAGTGAAAAACAAAATAGTGATATGAAGTTCAAATGGAAAGTGTTAAAAATACTACACATACTAGGGATGTTTGGCAGATAGCCCCTAATTTAGTATCTGTAGCAGAATGGATTTGTAAAATAAACTTTTTTTTCCTTTTGTTCGGCTGTCTATACACCCTCTGTTCATTTACCGAACCAACTCCCCTTGTTCACATTTCATAATCACCGACCACTGGCTGTTAACCATAAGTATGCAATTAATTCAAGTGCTTTCCCTGTGTGGCCGCCATTCATATAACCGAACACACGTGCTCCAAGAATTGGCGGCCATTTTATCTCCCGAACGCATGTAGTAGTACATGGTTGTCGAGTGCGTGGAACTGTATGTCAGATACGCGACCCCACGAACATCGGGGAAACTTGTACCACTGCCCGTGCAACTTCCCGAACAGTTAGGAAAATGGTGTTCGAGAGACATAAACTACCGAACAAGGGGCGCATTCGCTACCTAACAGCCAGGGGGAGCATTAATCGGTATTCATATGGGAACCCAATGAAAGATGACTGGTCGTTGCCTTGTTTTCTGTGGAACTATTTTGGGACATCACCATGTGACCGACACGTCAAAACTTTATTCGAATGGCGAATTCAAACTACCGAAGGGACCTGAGCCCTTTTTTTTGACAAAGTGGGCGCTCAGACTCCAGCAATTAAATTATATGACTTTTTGGGGGTTCCTGTGCTATTATGGTGTATTTTGGGGGTGATTTGTGATATTTTGTATTCGTTTCTGTAACTGAGAGATGATTTAGTTATCTTATTTTGACCTCAATTATCTCTCAGAAACAGAGACTCTTGGGAATGTTGCTATGTAGACCCAATGCAAGGGGTCCATGCACAAAAGCCGTGTGTGAACAAATAAAGCTCAGCTGACTCCCAGTACTATGTGTCATCTAGTTGCTGGGGGAGGGGGAAAGGTCTTGGATTATTACAGCGCTTCGTTCAGCTTCGAGGAAGGAATAGTGGAGATACATAGCCATGGTATTTGAGCTCCACTACAGAACCCTGCAATGAACACTCTGGAACCATAACAAACTCATTGACTGAAGTTGTCATAATGCCAGGAGATCCCTGGGTGCTTTCTTACCTGAAGGTTGGCTCCAGTGCAAGATCTCAAATTGGATCAGAACTCTGGGTTCCCGTAACAATTAATCCTAGAACCAATAGTATGGCTTCACATTTTTGGGGGAGTAAATGTTAAACCACAAGTAGTAGATAAGCGAGGTTAAGTATCTTATCTGTACACATTTATACACTTCATTGTTATTGCAATCATGTAGGGTACATATTTACAGACACAAATTAAAGGGGCACTGTGATCACCATAAATATCACATGTGGTGTTTGGTTATTTTACTAATTGTGAGTGAGCATATATATTAATGCAAATCATATAGTCTTTACTCATTAGTTAGCTATGCCGTGATTTTGATATGTATCCTATTGTAATTTGATTCTATGAATTCAGAACAAAAACTTGTTCCAGTGGCCTTGCCTGGCTATCTCCCAGAAAATACACAGAACACCTGCAAAACTCCCTCATTCAAACTGCTTTTAGCCTCATTCAACACAAACACATTCAAAGCAAAGTATAGAGTCCTGAATACAGAACAAAGTTTAGTATTGTTGAGGGTGGAGGCTTAAGAAAGATAAAGCAAAGGGGAAAAAGAGGGAGGGACAATATTAAGTTTCACCAAAACAACTACAGTAAAGGTATCCCTACAGAAATGTAGAGTATGATGGATCAAATGACAAGCCTCACTACAACCTAAGAAATAAATATCCCACAATAAACTTCATATTCAGAGTAGTACCTCCCCATGTCTGATTTTCTATAAAAACAAAATATATCTTCAACAGGATATTTCAGCATCATATACTCATTATTTGTGGGGTGACATTATTTATTTAATCTAGATGTGTTTTTTTTAATGATATTTTACTTCCCTTTACATATCTAGCTCTGGATCACAGCCGCGTGTGATGTTGCTAAAACAGTAACGTGATGTTCCTGAAAAGGGTGTAGTGTTAAATAAAATGACTCTGCCCATAATACTATGCAACAATGTGATTTGCCATCTGTTATAATCCTGGGTAACTTTACTAGTCTTCCAATCCATAAATACAATGCATTTTCTATTGAATAATGAGCATAGTATATACATAATGTCCTTTATTGAGTCAAACTGAATAAAATTGGGATTGTGGCCAGTAAGACATTGGGATACTTGAAATTGAGTGGAACTGCTGGATTTCCCCACGGAGAAATGAAAAACTCCACAAAAAAAAGGAAAAAAGGGATTTTTATTAAAATAAGGTTACACGCTGGCTCGGGCGTACAGGGGAAGAACAATCATTTCTGACGCCTTTTGTGCCTATTTATGGACTTCCTTAAAGTCCCTTTACTTGTCTTCATGGATTGAAGTGTTTTTCTTCTCCTTGTGGAGGATTCAGGAAATTTCACTCAATTTCAGTTCTCAGGCAGTCACAGTCACAAAGCCTGCATACATTTCTCTGTAATATATTTTTTTAGTTTATAAAGACATCAGGGAACCCTTCCTCCATTTATATCTTCAGATAAAACCATAGTTTGATGGCAGATAAAGGCATATGGCCATTAAGTTCACCTATTTCCTATTCAAAAGCACAGGCTTTTTAGTTATTGTGTTTCATGCTCAAGACAACAGTGAGTCTATCGTAAACTTTCTTGAATTATTCTGTATTAGTCTCCACCATCCTTGCTGTACAGCTCTTATATCTACAATGCTTTCAATTAAAAAAAAGAGTGTGAAGGACCGCCTGGCAACCCAACCGGGTATCTCCGTCAGTTGCTGTTTCCTAGTACTGGTGAGTACCATAAGCACTGCACTGGAACACCATAACCACCGTAAACCCAACAAACTGCTGCAGCTTTGTTGGGGTCTCGCCGTCCTCCACCCACCCTGGACTCAAGACCAGGATCCAGCTTCCAGCGGGTAGGCCTCTCTTAGTGCTGATAGCGTAGTAGGAACGGCTCTTGCAAGAGCATAGTGATTATACTCAGAATATAGTGATTATAGCAATCCCAAAAGTGTAGTTCTCCAATCCCCCAAACATGAGCCAAGACTTCATGAAGGTGTAAGATGATCTGATCGTTAATGGTTCAAGTTGGCTTTTATACAATTCTCCATGCCAGAGGAACACCCCCTGGACCTGATAGGGCACAGGAACACAAAGGACACAAACCAATTAGAACAAGCATACAGTCTGTGACACACCCATGTACAGCACACAATCCCTCCCCTCTGCTTGGGGGATAATTGAGTAAAGTCCTCTAAGTAACTCAATTATCTCCAGGTAGAAAAAACACATTTTCACAAAGTTCAGAAAGTACCCCAAAACATAACATACCCCCAAAACATAACATACCCCTAAAACATAGCCCTGATTTGGGTGAACAACAAATCAAAAAAATTAAAGCTTTCACGGAAGTCTCTTTTTGACGGGCCGCAAGCATGGCTTCTTGCCCAAAATAGTTTTAGAGACTTAGGCTGTGCGGCCGGTCTATTTCCAGTGATTAAAGTGGAAAATGTGGCTACATGTGTAACACTGTTATTGGTTGTTGTAATGTCCTTGTCACAGTCTCCCATCTGGTCCCCTATGGGAGTGTCCACCAGGTGGGAGACCTGCATAAATACCGGGCAGGTAGCCCTCAGTAAAACAGATTCCTGCTGACCCTCAATATAGAGCTTTGTCTCGTCATTGGGGGGATTATTCGTATGGATTATGCTTGTTCGACTATTTGGGAGACTGACTGATTTGTGTGATTGTTGTTCGGCTGTTTTTGGAGACCAACGGATACGTGTGATTGCTGTTCGGCAGTTTGGAGCGCTCAGTAGCTATCTCTGCATTCGGTAAGGGAACGTCCTATACGGCAGTAACCCCTCTCCTACCGGAGGAGCCGTAACAAGTATATAATATACATGTAATATAATTTTGCATAAATGAGTCAATGCAGACTTAGAAAATATAGGGAAATAAATATATAAACTCATATTTAGAAAACATTCTCTTTTTTTATGTAATTTTTGTTTTTGTTTTATTGTATCACAGGGACATAAAACATGCAATGCACTAGACCTAGACATGCTTGGGCTGCACAACGAGGAATTTCTAAAAAGATCATAATTAACCATGAAATTAAGAGTTTTATAAGCCCCTCAGAGGTCTGCTTTGTGTGTACTGCAGCTCATTTTTGACAATGCAGCCGAATTGAACACGGGCTTCCTCGTTGTTTGTTTACTTTACAACGAGATTACTTCCAGAGCTTTTGTTTTTCTTTTCTTCTTTTAAATTTTTTTTTTTGGGGGGGGGAAACAAGTCAACTTGCATGTTTACCATCTAAGTTTATAAAAAGTATAAACTCGGTTCAAATTAGAAGATCAAGCACTGCATTTATTGTACATTGTCGCAACACCATCTGTCACCTCAAATTCTCAAAGACTGGGGAAAAAAACTCCTGTGAATACGCTCGTCCTCAAATCGTATAATTCAGATTTTAACAGTCAGGCTTGAATGTCTTTTCAGTGTTGTTCAACTTTGACCCTGTACTACCCTTCCTCCAGTGAAAAGGGAAAAAGACAACAGCCCAGCAAGTGGGACAGAAAAAACAGAAAGCCTTTGTTCAGATTTTTTTTCTCTTTATTTTTTGTTTCTGGTCCTTTTCGTTTGCGGTAAAATATCTGAAAAGACTTCTACACAGCCTTTAAGAAACTCGGATAAACCCGGACACTCACTTGTATTTACCTTACAGGAGATTGTGACAAATGTTACTTATGGTCATGTAAAGTTTAGGATAGTTCGGATGCTTATTTTTACATCCGTTTGGAAGTATCACTTACTTAAGCAACAAATTCCTCAAACTAAGGTCACTAGGATGGTAATAGTATAGTATTAATTCACTAAATAAGAAAGAGGAAATTTTTATTAGCAATATGCATTTAACACGCACCAACATAATCAGAATGTGTATAATATCAGTTCGGAATCTATCTACTAAGAGAATAAAATACTAACGTAAGTCAGAATACTTCCTGAGAGCCTAACCATTACCTAATCATACTTTCCAACATTTCTGAAGGCTAATGAGGGTCACTTTTTGGGGAACGATGAAAAGTGTGGTCAGGAGGTGGAGCCATCTGGAATATGTTAGTTGACTTCATGACCTCATAATAGCAGTCTATGTAACTAACTCCCTATACATCCTAGAGGAAAATTACATGATGTAAATTATTCGTTGAGGGCTGAAGAGTGTAAGAAGTGGGAAAAGTGGGAGGTATGCGGAATTAGAAGAGTGAGGGTTGGTACAATGCATCTTCCTCTGTGTAACCAATAATGCTGACACCAGCCCTATTCCAGTGTCTTTAGTACCTCTTGACATTTCAGATTGATTCAAATCAGTCTGTTTTCATCTCAGAGGTCAATGAATTGAGTACCAACAAGTGGGCAGCCATAGCATAAAAAACACTTGATTTCCTGAAAGCTTACTTAAATATAAACATACTATGCCTGGTTAAAGACTGAAGTTATTATTACTTTTATTAATAACACTATGTAAAAAATAACATGAGTTAGGTCAATGTACCTAACTGTAAGCAGAGGCAACCAATCTGTAGTTGCCTGGCTGCTATATTACAACTTACATAAGGCTCTATATTGTTCACGTTGCTATTTATTGATAGTTGAATATGCAATATCCACACTGCTCCGAGAAATTTTAATGCTTAAAGGACCACTATAGTGCCAGGAAAACAAACTCGTTTTCCTGGCACTATAGGATCTTTAAGTCCCCCCCACCCTCAGGGCCCCACTACCGCTGTGCTGAAGGGGGCTGAAGGGGCTAAACACTTACCTTTCTCAAGCACCGGGCTCCCTCGGCGCTGGGGAACTCTCCTCCCTCTGCTGACGTCAGCGCCGAATGGCAAGAGCCGCGCGCACATTCAAATAGTCCATAGGAAAGCATCTCTCACGGCTTTCCTATGGACGTCCAGCGTCTTCTCACTGTAATTTTCACAGGATTAACCCTAGTGTAAACATAGCAGTTTCTCTTTATAGCTGCAGGGTTAACACTCATTGAGCTGAAGTGGTCTGGGTGCCTATAGTGGTCCTTTAACAAGGATTCTTATTTCAGGTATAAAGGAAATAAGTAGAGGAGCCTTGTGACTTTTACTAGCTTAGAATATCTCCAGTTATCATGACATTCAACAGAATTTTTCAAGGCACAATCCAGAAACCTAGAGCAATGTTGCTGCTGAAGTGCCTTATGTGTGAAGAGTGTTTCCTTTTTGTTTCATGTTACTAAAAGGGCAGATTTCAAAAGAAATTTACACTTTTTTCATGTTTCTATTTAAATTTACACATCAAAATAAGTGTACATATCGATAGTAACAATTAGTACAATAAGTGTAGAATGTAACAATTACAATATTAATAACACAATCAAAATGAAAAACAAAAGCTAACAAAGAAAAAACAAACGGGGTTATAATAATAGTTTATATCCATGTAGCTAGTAATACATATTTTTTTTAAAGGGGTGGGGGGGAGTACAAGTATGTCATATATGTTTTGTATAATTATGTTTTTAAATTATATTATAAATGGTAATTATTATAAGAAAATAAAATATTTTGTTTTGTCATGTGGGAAACATGGTCAAAGTTTGTACTGAAGCCTAACTTTATCTTCCCAAGCTATCCATTCTTGTTTTAGAGTAGATGTTTTTTCACACGAAATGCGAAGTACTAGTTCATAAATTTACACTTTTATAAATTAACCTTGTTACATCCACCTGGCTTTCAATCAGACAACCGGCTCTGTTACTTCATTTTTTGGTTAGCTCAGAGGAGCCAAACACAAGAGGCAGAAATTGCCCAGAGCACCTGCTTTGAAAAGACTTCTCATTGAGCTGTATTGGGAAGTCTGTGATTGGACAGCCAAAGAAAGTCTGGGCGGGGTTAGAACATAGAAACATAGAATGTGACGGCAGATAAGGACCATTTGGCCCATCTAGTCTGCCTAATTTTCTAAATACTTTCATTAGTCCCTGGCCTTATTTTAAGTCGAGGATACCCTTATACAAAAAAACAAGTCCTGCACTACTCTTGGGTGGCAGCAACGGCCATAGTACACATCAGCCCAGACGTGGCAGGTGGGTTAAACTCTCGCATGGCCATTGGAGAAACTAAATAGGGATATGGGAAGAGCGCAGGTAACTTTTTTCTTAGATTTTTACTGTATGTGTACTATGGTCGTTGCTGCCATCCAAGAGTAGTGGGATTTTGACCACAGGACTTGTTTTTTTGTATTTTTATTATCTATTGGATCACACAGCTATGTTACAATATTGCCGCCCATCCCATGTGTTTCCTATTAAGGATTAATAAGCATATAGGGGTGTATATAAAAAATACCCCTCTCTGTCTCATTCAAGATATCTTTTCCAGAAGCTCAAGGAAGCAGGGTAAAAGGTTAGTGTAGGACCCACCTGAGAGGTTTGCCTTGACGTGGCAGGTGGGCTAAACTCTTTCATGGCCATTACAGAAACGAAATAACCTCCATTTGTTTAAATATGCATTGGGATTTGGGAAGAGCGCAGGTAACTTTTTTCTTTGGAGGATAGCCTTATGCCTACCCCACACATGCTTAAACTCCCTCACTGTGTGAACCTCTACCACTTCAGCTGGAAGGCTATTCCATGCACCCACTACCCTCTCAGTAAAGTAATACTTCCTGAAATAATTTTTAAACCTTTGTCCCTCTAATTTAAAACTATGTCCTCTTGTTGTGGTAGTTTTTCTTCTTTTAAATATAGTCTCCTCCTTTACGGTATTGATTCCCTTTTTGTATTTAAATGTTTCTATCATATCCCCCTTTGTCTCGTCTTTCCTCCAAGCTATACATGTTAAGATCCTTTAACCTTTCCTGGTAAATTTTATCCTGCAATCCATGAACTAGTTTAGTAGCCCTTCTCTGAACTCTCTCCAAAGTATCAATATCCTTCTGGGGATATGGTCTCCAGTACTGCGTACAATACTCCAAGTGAGGTCTCACCAGTGTTCTGTACAATGGCATGATCACTTCCCTCTTTCTACTGCTAATACCTCTCCCTATACAACCAAGCATTCTGCTAGCATTTCCTAGAATGGAAGGGTTTGCAAAGACTGCAGACAAGAGATCTGCAGCTTTGGCAAGCTGTTTTTAGATATACACACCCAAAGAAAAAGTGCATAATTAAATGCACGCATGTTTTCGTTGAGGGTATATCTACTAAACAGTGTTTTTTAATTTATTTTTGTATTTGGACGTTAGAACGTCCCTCTAACTTCAATTAAATTATCTGCGCTTGGAATTATAATTGTAGTATTCTTGCAATCAAAATGAAAGAAGATAATTAAAGTAAATTGTTTGCTTTTCCTCCTGAAAAAAAAAGCTCTTTGTGTGACTAATGATATGAAAAACAATATGTGAATCTAAGAAAAAAATAATGTATGCTACATAGCTTGAATGCCGTGCCCACTGAAAGGGATTTTAGATTCATGACATCTTTCATTGGTCTTGATCTCCCACATTATTCCTCCAGCAGCCTTCAATCCCTGAAATTTATAGATCTTTCACTTTCCGTGACTGTTCACGCAGCTTAAAAGGGCATTCGTGTAAATGTATCAAGTAATGCAAAACAGAGCTGAAAATATGTATTCTATCAGGCTGATTGCATTTTTCGTACCATATTTAACGTAAGAAAGGTTTGCTAATAAATAGAACACGTTAGTGTTACTATTCAACTTGTTTTACTTGTTTTTATCTTTTTATTTGTATATGGGATTACTAATTAAATTAATGAATTAACCAACCTAGACCATCCCGATTTTTCCTGAAGTTTGGACACCACAGGAAAGGTTAAAGGATCTTAACATGTATAGCTTGGAGGAAAGACGAGACAGGGGGGATATGATAGAAACATTTAAAAACATAAAGGGAATCAACACAGTAAAGGAGGAGACAATATTTAAAAGAAGAAAAACTACGATAACAAGAGGACATAGTCTTAAATTAGAGGGACAAAGGTTTAAAAATAATATCAGGAAGTATTACTTTACTGAGAGGGTAGCGGATGCATGGAATAGCCTTCCAGCTGAAGTGGTAGAGGTTAACACAGTAAAGGAGTTTAAGCATGCGTGGGATAGGCATAAGGCTATCCTAACTATAAGATAAGACTAGGGACTAATGAAAGTCTTTAGAAAATTGGGCAGACTAGATGGGCCGAATGGTTCTTATCTGCCGTCACATTCTATGTTTCTATGTTTCCTTGGTGGAGGGATTGAGCAAAATCGTTATTTTTCTCTACTTTTCCAGTTCATTTTACACTTTTTTATATAACACTGAGCACTATATATTATTTCTGGTTTTATTCATATAACACCACCATCAACACTTCAGCCAGGTATCATGTTCAAGAGTAAGAATTATACCACTTTATGCTGTTTACTGGGAGCCAGTAGAAGGCTCCATAATATGTGAGTGCATTTTGACATATATATTTACCCTACGAATAACACCAAATATACTACACTACATTAGTGTCTATTGTGCTTCCAGACCACCAACCCCGGACCCAGAGATACACCGAATATCCTAACTGATAGCTCTAGCTTACAAGGTGATGCTCCCTCTTCTAACAGTATACAAATAAAACATCTACTGAAATGCAAATACTACTAGACTACTAGCTTATTATTGCCTTTTCAAAACATATCTTTTAAAAGGAACTTTAAATATTGGCTGGCTTCTCTATTATTATTTTTTTTTAAATATTTGAAATCTGCCAGCAAAGACAGCTCTCATTCTGTCCTTTGAAATGTATGAGATTGAATGGTTTAATTATAGTGACATCAAGAAGCACTACAAAAAAAAATGATTTGGTAATTATAATTTAAAAGCTTGATGTTATTCGGCTAAAATAAGCCGTCAAAGGCTGCTGGGAATAGCCTAGATCAGGAATGGGGCACTCAGCTAATGTAATGATAAAAAATGTGTGTGGTTTTATTTTACGAAATCCTCAACACTGACGGAAAATATGGAGAGTTTACAAAAAAAATACGAACAAAACGTGTTATTTTTCCTGGCAAAAACTTTTGCACTCAATCTTTTCTCTGCAAATTGGAACACAGAGGGCTCATTTCTATGCAAATCCCTTCATTATTGTATCAACCAATTAGCTGCTTAGTCATTAATCTGACATCAAATGGTTTAAATGTTAATGAAAAGGTTGGTAAAGGTCCTGTTTTTGGACTATGAAATTCATATCTGGATTTGATCTAAAAATAGTATTTCAATGCAATCTTTGTATAATAAACAAAAGGATAACCCGGGATAGAAGCTTTATAAATCTTTACCACAGGGAAGCATTAGGCTAATTAATGCAGCATGCTATCCTCATGTATATTTAGATTGTTCTCGAGAAACTTGCAGGGACTGACAAAAAAAAAGAGACAATGGCACTTGCTTTAAATGCTGGTGTCAGCGCCTTACAAGTCCCAGTGCTTGACATAACAAAATACATGATGCTTGTCAGAGAAAGGACTCTCACCATAATATTTTCTAAACTTGTGTATAACTCAGTGAGTCCAACAATAGAAAATATAAGTTGCTAGTCAAGACTAGTATGGCTATACAATGTAATTTATTTAATCGTGAATTGTGTAAAAATAAAAATAGTGTTTGCAAAATTTAAAGGGACATTCTAGATTCTAAAAAAAAAACATTTGCTGCAATGTATACATTGTATCTTATACACTTTGCAAAAACATTCACATCATTGTCAACCTTTCTCTTACAAATAAATGTAACTTTGTCTCTGTATTTCTCCTCCGCTTGACACTTCTTGACACAAAGCGGAGCCTAAGTGTCAATCCCTGCAGCCATCACCAGTGATGGCTGCAGGGACGTGGCTGTATCTTAGAAAGGTCCCCGTGGTCTTGCTGGATCCCCCATAGACTTTAATGCTGTACTCTTGCGCATGTGCAAGAGCACAGCAGTAACATCAGTGCCGAGGAGGACCGTGCTGGACCAAGATGGCGGAGCCCACAAGGGAGAGGTTTAGATAAGTAAACTCACTTTTACAGTAATATATTGGATGTAGTAAATATTTAAATTATGTTAAAATAATTATTTGCAATAGTATTAAGAAGTAGTAGTATTTTATTAACTATATAATTCATACAGATTTGGATGATGATGAATCTAACAAGCACTGCACCATTAAAATCCAAATGTTGCATTAAAAGTTACGTGCATTTTAATTCTGTACATACACTGATCAGCCACAACATTTATCCCATCTACCTAATAGAAAGGAAGTGTAGGTCCCCCTCGTGTTGCCAAAACAGCTCTGATGTATACAGGCATAGACTCCACAAGACCTCTGAATGTGTTGTTTGGTATCTGGCACCAAGATATTAGCAGGGGGAGCCTTTAACTTTTGCAAGTTGTGAGATGAGACCTCCATGGATCAGATCTGTTTTATAGCACATCCCACAGATGCTCAATCGGATTGAGATCTGGAGAATTTGGAGGTCAAGGTAACACCACGAACTCTTTGTCAAGTTCCTCAAATAACTCCTAAACAGGTTTTGCAGTGTGGCAGGGTGCATTATCCTGCTGAAAGAGGCCACTGACATCAGGAAACACTATTACCACTATATGTGGTTTGCAATGATCTCTAGGTAGGTGGTATGTTTCAATGTAGCATCCACATGAATACCAGGACCCAAGGTTACTCAGAGCATAAAACTGCCTCCGTCAATCTCCCTTTTTCCTATAATGCATTCTAAAGCCATCTCTTCCCCAAGTAAATTACGCACCTGGCCATCCACCTGATTTAAACAAACATGTGACTCATCAGACCAGGTAACCTTCTTCCATTACTCTATGGCCCAGTTCTGAAACTCATGTCGGCTTTCAGCAGTGGAAATGAGTCATGATGAGAACTCTAAACAGTCTGTGTCTGTACAGGTGCATACACAGAAAACTGCAATGCACTGTGTGCTCTGATACCTTTCTATCCATGGCCAACAATAAGTTTTTCAGCAGTTTGAACTAGAGTAGTTCTTCTGTGTGATCGGACCAGACGGCCTGACTGTTCACTTTCTGCCTAATATATCCCAATCCTTCACAGGTACCATTGTAATCAATGTTATTCACTTCACCTGTCTGTAGTCTTAATGTTGTGGTTGATCAGTGTATGTAGCATGAAGGGCAGGAAATTTCACAACGTTTGAGAGCAGGACATTGACTGCACATGTTAGAGCCATGTGATTGTGTTACACACGTGTACTGTTTAAACTAACCAAATTGATAAAGACTTTTGGTTTTACCATGAATCTCTCAATCATGTGACTTTTAGCGTTCACTCAGGAAATGCTCCAACAAAGTAGCAAAATCCACTAATGTGAGACTATTATGCTTTGATTACATTTTGGATGATTTTATTCTGGATTTCTGCCTCCTGCATGCCTTCTTAGTTGTCCAAGACAATATGTGCTACACAGATCCTTGGTAGGGATGATACATCCTATAATAATTTATATGAGCATGCTGATGCTCTCTACGTTGTAAGCAGCGTATTTGTTTAGTTCGGTCTCTTTCATATACAATCTGCACTATTAGTCTTTCTGTTTATTTTATATAACCACCTTGCTCTACTCAATATTATATCCCAAAGCAGGAACGGCTCCACTCCATACATGTTACTTTGAGCTTTGGGATAGCTCAATTATATGTGAGTGGATTATTATATGCTTACATGTATCTTGTTTTCATGTGTTTTTTATAATTCATATGTATTAAAGAATCCAAAACATATTGAGGTCACCTGGATATATTTTGTCTTGTCTCTACTCTCTGCATTAACTCCAATCACATACACTCAGTCACAAAATGGAAAATGAATCTTAAGCGGCAACATTTTTCTATATGTTCATGAAAGCAACAATAAAATAAATAGAAGAAATCAGAACTGTGTTTTTAATGATATATGCCTGTGTTTGCCATTGACAGGAAGCTCAAAGCTTTAATCTTAGGTACGCAGGCTGTCCATGATGTCTAAGACACTCCCAGTTGACCACGGTGAGAAATGTGGGCTATTTCAGACTGAAATCGTAGTGTACAATGTAACAAGCTAACTGCAGTTGCCATCAGCCAATAATGTGTTCTATGATTATATTGATACATTTGTTGATAGAGAAGAACTGCTAAAATGACTCCGTTACACTAATTATTTTGTGCAGTTATCAACTCTGAATCATCCTAATTTGAGGTGAAAAATGTCAATTCCCAGCTCTGTAAGTAATACAAATCCCACAACGCTTTGCTGGCCTTTGAGCTTGCGCAGCATCATGAGAGTTATATTTCTTCAACATCTAAGGATCTACCTTTTTGGCTGTCCCCTACCCTAATGCATTGTGTTTCCAGAATACGTAGTCTCTCTGGAAATCTCATCTGTACAGTATCCAACAGCTTTCTGTTTATGGATAAACATTTCTAGAATTTTTAATCTTTTCAATGTGATGACAGATCTGAATGCAGAACAAACAGACATATTATACTACAAACTGCATTACACAGACCTTTGAAGTTATCTTATAGTATAACAAAGCATCATCAGGAAAATCAGGTGATCATATTAATAACTATGATATTTCAGATTAATGCTAAATTTAATATCAATGAGTATTTGGTTTATTTATGTAACTATCATGCAAGATGACAAAACATGCTTTGTGAACAGTCCTACTTTGCATCTACTGACCTTTAGATCAAATGCGAGAGCAGAGAGACATAGCAAAAGTGTTCTACAGTAAAGCCTGTATTTCTCTGTCATTTACAGCATTTTCCACTCATTTTGGAGGAACACTAACTATCTTTTACAGTAAATGACGACCATAACATGGAATATTTTTTGGATGCAATTGGCGCACGCTATTGAATGGCACCTTGGGAAAATAAAACAACATTCTGAAAAACATTGCATTATCCAAATGTCAACTATAGCTCAATGAGGAGAATCCCACGTTCCTCTTCATCAATGGAGAAGGTGAAAAGAAGGTAAAGGTACAGAACCTGCTGCTCACCCATAATCCTTCACTCAATTTATACCCAAATTATTGGCAATAAGAAGTTCCCAACTCAAAAATGTGATTAGCATAACCTAGATGCAAACAGGAACAGGTCAGTTAAAGTAGCCAATGTACCAACTAGATTCATCATATAGTGATTTGACCAACCTGTTGCGTTCCTGTCATTAATTCGTTTTTTCGATGAAGTTTTTCTTCAACTGTTGACAATTTCTGAAACCATTGATCTAACTATCATTCCCAAGGGACCTCAATTCCTACTGTAACCTAATTCACACATGATGCAAGTCTCTAAAATCTATGCCTACGAAAATGGGAAGACGCATCAGCAATGACGAGGAACAAATAGTAACGGCTATGACTGGGTCAGAGCTTCTCCAAATCATTTTGGGGGGATTTTCCCAGTATGCAGTGCTTAATACCTACCAAAAGTGGTGCAGTGAAGGACAACCATTTATTTACTAAGCATTTGCATTTGTTATCTTGTTTTTTCACATTTACACATAGAATTACGCAAGTATATTTTTTTTGTCAGATAAAAACAAGTGGCAGTTTTCTGGATTCCAATTTTCCTATTCGTCATTCAGAATCTCTTATAGATCTCTATGTGATATAGTAAACTTTTAGCAGCTGTTGAAAGTCATTTTTATGTTTTGTAGCACGAAAACAGTTAGCAATCTACAATTTTAGAGATTACCAGTTTGGCAGTCAATGAATTCAACAGGCAATGGTGGCAATGGTGGCTGCCTGCATGGTGAAGTTTGAATACGATGGGACATTAAAAGCTACCGCCAGAATCTGACTTTTCCCATTTATTTACAGGTATCTAAAACCTACAACCAGAATCTGACTCTGCCCATTTATTTCCAGGTATTCTAAAACTTACTATTAGAATCTGACTCTGCCCATTTATTGCCAGGTATTCTAACACTTACTACCAGAATCTGACTCTGCCCATTTATTTCCAGGTATTCTAACACTTACTACCAGAATCTGACTCTGCCCATTTATTTCCAGGTATTCTAAAACCTACTACCAGAATCTGACTCTGCCCATTTATTGCCAGGTATTCTAACACCTACTACTAGAATCTGACTCTGCCCATTTATTCCCAGGTATTCTAAAACCTACTACCAGAATCTGACTCTGCCCATTTATTTCCAGGTATTCTAACACCTACTACTAGAATCTGACTCTGCCCATTTATTGCCAGGTATTCTAACACCTACTACCACCATCTGACTCTGTCCATTTATTTCCAGGTATTCTAAAACCTACTACTAGAATATGACTCTGCTCATTTAATCCCAGGTATTCTAAAACCTACTACAGAATCTGACTCTGCCCATTTATTGCCAGGTATTCTAAAACCTACTACCAGAATCTGACTCTGCCCATTTATTGCCAGGTATTCTAACACCTACTACTAGAATCTGACTCTGCCCATTTATTCCCAGGTATTCTAAAACCTACTACCAGAATCTGACTCTGCCCATTTATTTCCAGGTATTCTAACACCTACTACTAGAATCTGACTCTGCCCATTTATTGCCAGGTATTCTAACACCTACTACCACCATCTGACTCTGTCCATTTATTTCCAGGTATTCTAAAACCTACTACTAGAATATGACTCTGCTCATTTAATCCCAGGTATTCTAAAACCTACTACAGAATCTGACTCTGCCCATTTATTGCCAGGTATTCTAAAACCTACTACCAGAATCTGACTCTGCCCATTTATTGCCAGGTATTCTAACACTTACTACCAGAATCTGACTCTGCCCATTTATTGCCAGGTATTCTAAAACTACTAGAGCGGGCCCACCGTCCTCAACTGAACAAAATTACTAACTAATGTGAGAATTCAGTGAATGAATTGCAAATTTAAGACCAGAATAGTCAAACTCAAAGCATAGCTGATTTAGATAATTGTTTTATTTCAACTATTTTGATCCTAAATTTGAATTTCACTTTGAATTCTTAATTTAGTAAATAATTCTGCATATTGTAGTGAATCTAAAGCTGAAACACAAAATTTAGACAAAAAGTGCAGATTTGGAAAGATTCTCCCATTTAGCCATAGATACAGTTATTTTAGCCTCAGCATTTCAATATAATTCATGCAGACTGCTTTAGTCACTGACAGGCATCGTTTGCCATAGTGACAGCATCTCCCGTATGTAACGCAATCGCCAGAGTAAATCTTAACTACACTTTCTCCCCTGTACTGATTATAAACAACAATCAGCTGTCTGCTGAAAACCATTGGGTATCTAACACACATATAAAATGAGCAATAATTATGAGCACGATCACACCATGCCTTGTGCATAACTCTAAACAATAAATATAAAAAAATAAATTGCTGTAAATGTCATTTTCTGTGACTCAGATCCTCTAACTCATGACAGACAGATCCCTGGATGAATATTCAAAAATGTAATGGGGGTGGAATAAATTTCCTTTATGAAGACCCCCATGCTATTTTTCTGTGGTGTGGCCTGGTAGCATCACAAGATAGATTCTAAGGAGATCCAAGGAACTATGTGGTCCCATCTGAGCTTCCAGTCTCCATGGTGATGTAACAATCAGATGAGGGACCTCCACCGAGCACTGCCTATCACACAGCAGGGATTTCCCCATGAGATATAAATACACAGACCAAAACATTAGTGCAAGAATCTTAGGGAGCAAAAAAGAATGACGTTTTCCAAAGCAGGAGCTTTGATACTATAGAGATGTTATAATGCTACCAATATTCACAGATATTATCTTTCTACCAGTGCCGATGGTAATAACTTGGATTTATGTCACCAATATTCAGGAATTGTGCCCACAGTTTAATCATGTAGCAGGATGCAATGTTCTAAGATGAGTAACACAATTCTGATCATAAATTGAGTGCTGAATACTTTAACAGCATACTATTGCAATGTCTCCTCTGTTTCATATTTTATTTTCTGCTCTGACGTAAAATGCAGTCATTTCCCAGGTACACACCGCAGAGTACTATTTCACCAACACTTTGAAGCTTTGACTATGAACAGTACATTCCATTAAAATAGTGCAACTCCAAACAATATACTATATCATCTAATAATTCATCAAGTGGCGCTGTAATGGCTATTGTAAGAAAGAAAAAAAAAAGAGATTCCTGACTAGCTGGGAGATAAAATATTGACTATTTCCCGTCATGTCTCTGTGACATAAACTAAGACATCACCTTTGAAACTAATATCTGATTATTAGACCAACAAATTGAGATCACCACAGGCCAAGAACATATCAAAGACTTACACGGTTTTTTATTAAACCAGGATTTGTGGGGAATTGTCCAGGAAACTGCAAATTGTTGTCCAAACTAGCTAAATTTCTAAATGTCTACAATACGGCTGTTTTGCAACATATTACTTTTGCCTTCGTTTTTGACAGTCCTCCACAAGTCTCAGTTTCTTGAATAGCCTAAACCGTGAAAAAGTAACAATTCTAAGGATGCAAATTAAATAGATACAACATTTCTGTATTGTGTCAAGACCCAGGCAATATTGTGTCCCCTGGCTACTATTCTAGACAGACATTGATATATTTTAGTGTTTTTTTATAGGCCACACACATTTGCATCCTGTTTGAATTCTCCAGTGTCCAATTGGCTGTCACTGCGTGCAATGTCCTTGGCAAGCCATCAATTAAAGTTTAGATTGGGCAATATGTAGCAATCCAACAATGACTGCAATTCTTACAATCCCAAAGCATCATGTTTGATTCGTAGTTTAATAACTACATGACAGAGAACGGCATGTTTCCTGTCTGTTCTAAGCAAAAAAAAAAAATATCAAATCCAAAACGTACATACCATCCAAGGTAACATAATTTCCCTAGTTATGGGAAAAAAAACAAAAAAACAATAGCTCTCAGGTTGATAATTTTATGGCAATAAAATCCCATACTTCAAGATAGCAGATAGGAAGATAGCAGATAGGAAGAAGTTTAATAAAAACATCATGACTGGGAACACTATTATAAATTAGTAGTCAGTAGTGTGCACTCAATAACCTTTAGGAAGCCATAAATGAAAGGTCAAATCTAAATGAACAGTAAAAAGATCATGCAAAAAGGACGGTAGGAATGCAACAACCGATTAAGCAGTAACAATGTATTTTTTGCTTGTCACCATTTTCCCTAAATTCAATGCTAACATAAACAACGAATCAATGAAATACCGCCATACAGGTATATGCATATTTACAGACCTGATTGAATAATTGGCTTTATGAATTCAGTATTAAATAAGAAAAGCATGATGGTGATGTGCCATGGATGCCACTTTTCTGCACCTTAGATACAGATACCCTGTGCTTAGTGTTTTATTCCATGATACAAGCAGGGGTGGCCTAAAGGTTGACAGAGATCATGGTAGTAGAAGTTCTATAGCACATGGGATCTACCTTCTGGCTCCCCACATACAGGAGGATGCTGTGTGTGATGGGGATCATGGCTGTTCCCTGTCAGTGGAAAGGTATGGGAAATCCAATGCACCTGCTAAGGGCCTTCTGTTTGGCTGAGAGCTGTGTGGAATAGCCCACTAATCCCCGGTAGTGTGGGGACATCAGGATGGCTGACCCAGTAAGACAATGGATAATGCCAGTCAATATCTCCAGGGAAATAAGGCATCAGAAGCTACATTGCTAATCGATTGTCCATTATTAATATTCAGAGAGCAGCCAATAGCTGCATGGTTGGTGCCACATATAAGGGGATTACTGGCATATGCCCAACACCAGGGAGACCAGCTACATACATTCATCATATTAACCCCTTCAGGGTGTGTGACCATGCATTGGGCATTCCAGGGGCCACAGAGAGCAATGCAGGTGGGAGGGAGATGATGAAAGTTCTGTAGAGGATGGGATGATGGATGGATGGGTGGATTTGGGTGGAGATGGCACATGGGATTCTGATAAGGTTAAAGTGCCCAGCACAGGGATAACCCGATTAGCCGTGTCTGCAGAGTGCATCTGTTGCCTTGCAGTGTGTGGAATAGTAAACCCAGGGGATAATAAACCTGGGATCTGCTGACAGCTCCCCCCAGGGTGGGCTGCCTCCTGGTCTTACCTGGCAGTGAGTGCCCTCTCTCTGGGTGCCTGGATGGGTACTGGGGGTGAGATGCTGTTCTGTCTGCACACAGAGCCGTCTCTGCAGCCTCAGCTCAGACCAGCAGCATCCTCCGCACGAAGCGCGCTCCCGCCTCCTTTTCGCTAGGGGGGCGCGCGTAGTAAGTCCCCGGGATCCAGCCGCCCTCGTGCCCGCGCGTCCAGTCCAGGAGCAGCGCGCGCTCCCGAGAGTGGCTTTAGCCGAGCTCGTGCCTCCTCCACCTGGACAGGAGCGGGAACTGCGCGCGACACCTGCTACAGCCTGCAGTATAGAACGATCTGATTTATACAATGTATCAAATAATCAACGGTATATAATAATATACAATGTATCAATGTAACTATCAGTGTATAATAATATACAATATATAAATATAACTATCAGTATATAATAATATACAATATATCAATATAACTATCAGTGTATAATAATATACAATATATAAATATAACTATCAGTATATAATAATATACAATATATCAATATAACTATCAGTGTATAATAATATACAATGTAGCAATAAATCAACGTTATATAATATATACAATGTATCAAATAGTCAACATTATATAATATATGCATTGTATCAATAAATCACCATTAAATAATATCTACACTGTATCAATATAACTATCAGTATATAATATATACAATGTATCAATAAATCACCATTATATAATATATACATTGTATCAATATAATTATCAGTATATATTATATACAATGTATCTACATAACTCACATTATATAATAATATACAATGTATCAATGTAATCACCAGTATATAATATATACAATGTATCAATATAACTATCAGTATATAATAATATACAATGTATCTATGTAACTCACAGTATATAATAATATACAATGTATCAATATAACTCACAGTGTATAATAATATACAATGTATCGATAAATCAATGTTATATAATATGTACAATGTATCAATACAACTCACAGTATATAATATATACAATGTATCAATATAACTCCCAGTGTATACTAATATACAATGTATCAATATTACTCACAGGATATCATAATATACAATGTAGCAATAAATCAACGTTCTATAATATATACATTACGCAAAAATATTAAATCATTTGAAAAGCTAATCCGAAAATATTTTAATCAAGGCCATAATCTGTAGAACACATACAGAGATAATGGTAGGCCCACAAAGTAATTTGAGGGTTATTTATTGAAAAAAAAAGCGTAAGATACTGACCTAACTGTCGCGCCACAGTCGCAGTCCCATGACATCATCACGATTTAGGTCTATCTCAATTGCGTGTCAATTTCGCATATTCCTTTCGTATACTTTTTTTTTTAATTTGAGGGTTATTTATCGAAAGCTTGGTGTTCTGAAAAGTGGTAACAACATTGAAAAGGGGTGCAGTCATCGATGCAACATCTGTGCTGGCTCTACTGGTTTCCATTGTGACAGTCCATTTAGAGTACTTTAGACAAGTTTTCAGAACACAATTTTGTTTTTTACATAACCCCGTTGTATCTGTGTCTATTAGCTTAGTTGCAATGTAGGTGCTGTTACTGAGTAGGGCTAAGGAATGTTGGACAGTAATTGGTGCCTGTAATTTGTCCACATGAATGCCAGGATCCAAGCTTTCCCAGCAGAATATTGCCCAGAGCATAACACTGCCTCAGTCTGCCTGCCTGTCTTATTCTCAAAGTGTATCTTGCTGCTGTGTCTTCCCCAGGCAAACAATGCACATGCTCCTGACTATCCACCTGATCTAAAAGAAAGTGTGATTCATCAGACCAAGCAAGTTTCTTCCATTGCTCCTTGGGGTTACGTAGCCAAATATGCGAAAACTGTGATGCATTGGGTGTTCTGACACCTTTCTATCATGGCCAGCATTAAGTTTCTCGGCAATTACAGTAACTCTTCGGTGTGATCAGACCTGACAGGATAGTCTTTGCTCCCTACGTGCATGAATGAGCCTTGGCGCCCATGACCCTGACACAGGTTCACCGGTTTTCCTTCCATGCACCACTTTTGTCAGGTACTAACCATTGCATACAAGGAATTGCTCACAAGTCTTACCATTTTAGAGATGCTATGACCCAGTTACCTGGCCATCACTATTTGGCCCTTGTTGTAGTTACTCAGATCTTTTTGCATGCCCATTTATAATATGGGCAACAATTATTGTTTTGCCCAAATGAAAATAATCTGAAAATTCCTACAGTAGGTAAGGGCTAGAAGAACATTTGGCATATGGCGTCCCACGTTTGGTGCCAAAGAAATAATTACTGCAAAACTAAAAAGACATGGAGTGTTTCATAGAGGTGGATAAACGGGAGTGAGAAGAATTGTCACGAAGGATACATAACAAATTTAGACCAAAAAATCTTCACTTTTATTGAATTTCTAAAAATATCTGCATACTGACAAATATAGAAATTACACATGTGAGATATCTTCTAAGTGGTACAAAGTATAAAAAAATCAACCATAGTCCATCTTAAAAAAGTATACTGCCAATTATCAGTACAAATTGTTGTTGGGCTCATGCTCTTAACAGACGGCAAACAGGAATTAATTATGGTGAATCCATAGATAGGGCTAAGTATTGATACACATAAAATTTGATAACTTGATGGGGGAGAGGAGCAGGAGATGCTGGGGTGGGGGGAGAAGAGGAGAACCTGGGGGAGAGGAGGAGAAGATGCTGTGGGAGAGGAGGAGGAAGAGATGAGTTGTTTTTTCTAAACTTAAACCTCAGTATTCATGTTTATTTGCTGTGTTGGCACTTTGAGGAAAAAAAGTTGGCATGTATTGCAGTTTGGTTTCACCATCACTGCCTTAAATGGTGCACATTAACTTCTTTATTGACTTATGGTAAGTATAGGCTTGAATCCCATTAGCGAGAACACCCCTAAATGGGGTTACATTGAAATTGGCTATAGTTGACAAAGTTTAAATAAATGCAGATAATAATCTGCCATTATCTTTTCCTGAGACAGTAAGTAGCAGTGGATCTATGCTATGTGTGTAGATACTTTCCCCAGAAATAAGAAAACCCTCCTGGAATTTTGCAGAGAAATATTAGCTTAATGGGGGACTGCTGACCTGTGATAGATGATACAATGCAGAAACAATAGACAAAGTACAGCAGAAACTAGTTTGAGAAATAAATATCAGTAATAGGAAAATGGTGAGAGAAATACACTGTATCCTAGAATGGTAACAGTGAGTGTAGCAATAATAAACTGGGCTAAAAAGATTTTCTACCTTATAGCAGAATTTTCAGAAACCAGTAATTTGCTTTGCAGGAGTGCAGCCAAATTCTCTGTTCTACATATGAGTTAAACATGTGTTTCATGTGGTTAAAACTCATTTCTTTTGCCATTGGTCGAAACATTCTTTTCAAAATACACATCCACATGACAGATTGTGCACAATCATATATTCATTTATGACTTCATATAATTCCGGCAAAAAAAAAAAGTATTTAAAGATGAAAAAAAGGTTTTACAGAGAATTTCCATATTAATATATTACTATGTATGCACAAGCTTAAATAAATGGAAAACATTACTAAATGCTTTGGCTGCGTGCTCTAGTGTTGTAAATCCATTAATAGTCATGGCGTAGGGATACATTAGCCTATTTTTTTCAGTTAGATTCGAATCAAATAGATAATGAAAAGCATTCCATAATAGTTTTCTATTTGAACTAAAAACTCGTTGCTTTACTATTATACTAATAATAATGTAACAAAGCAAATAATAATAGATAGTTTTGTTAAAAGAAGTGCATTTAGCCCACAATGCATTATTTCCCTACATGTGTTCCATATGAGCTGATATCTTACTTTCTTCTTAACTACTCTTTGTTGTCTCTCATAAGGCTCTTTCAATCAAGCCGAAGTCTAACTAGTAATGAATTATTCCTGAATTATTCACAAATACTTCCCATCTAACTTCAAGCACATGTACCCTTTTATTTTGCACTGTAAACACCTTTAAGAGCAGAATTTAGCCCACATTATCCCACCCAGCATCTTCATTGCTCCACCACTGATCTTCACCCTTCACAGAAACAAATTTCTCTGCCAGGCACCATTCTATCACTCTGCATTTATGCAGAGAGTCTGTAAATAGCATACCTTGTATATGACAAAAATGTGTTGTTTTTTTCTGGATATTTGCTAATATTCCAAAATCTGTCTTAAATATTGCAATATAAGGGATACATTACAGTCTCTAAAATTGCTCAATCTAATATGTCTGTATTGAATGAATGAATGAATGAATGAATTAATTAATTAATTAATTAATTAATGTGATTGTATAAATTTAGTTAATTTTATCATTTTAGATGTCCATGAGCAATCTGTACATAAAACTGCCGTTTTATCCTAAGTGTATGTATCCTAATGTATCCTAATCCGAATCTAGCTATGTATATCATGTTTCAAATACTATACTAAATATAAAAGATTAATGAAAGTATTTAGAAAATTGGGCAGACTAGATGGGCCGACCGGGTCTGATCTGCTGTCACATTCTATGTTTCTATATTTCTAAATACATTAAAAAGCATTGATCGAAAAAAAACAGAGTGAACATAATTTGTACCTAGTCCTTTATTAAAAAACTCCATGTAATTATAGAACTCTGTTATTTCTCTATACAAACCGTATATTCTAAGGAGCATACATAAGACCAAATTGTTTTGTAAATCTTTATCGTATATAAACACAATATACCTCAAATGCTTAGTTTGCAATAAAAGAGTTCATTTTATTAACTGAAAGACACGATAAATACAACATCCTACAGTGACAACACAGAAATACAAAGAAAACACATTAACAAATCAAGGTGCACGCTAACACTCCTAAAATCTAAAGTGCAAAGTAGAAATTGAAATAGAAAGCTATGGTCACAAGTATAATAGAATATAATCACATATAGAGTAATTAATTAACTTAATAATGAGTGCAGATGGAATATTGTTCTACTCCATTTTTCTATCAATAGTTAATTCTCCTTCTGAGCAGCACTACTCAAAGTGATATCATATCACTTCCTCCGTGTGTGTGTGAAAAGGCAGGAGACAGCAAAGTGTGCAGTTGGATCCCATCTCGACCCAATGGAAACCACCCTCTTGCTACAAGAGGGAAACCAAGATGATGACTTAACTCATTTTAAGCGTATGTGTCTTGCAGTGTGAGTTTGTGTGAGTGTGTTAGTGCATACATCTGTGTAGTGTGGTGTTGTTTATGGTAATGTGTGTGTGGTGTGGCATTGTGTATCTTTGTGTGTGTGTGTGGACCTGACATTGAATGTGTTGCATTCATTATCTTTGCGAGTGTCTGTCTGGCACTGTGTATCGATATTTTTGTCTGTGTGCATGTGTTTATCCGTGTGTGACTGTGAGTATGATATCTAACGTGTTTAGATGTGTGTTTGAGTGTGTTGAGTAGCACAGTCTATGGGGTTATAATGGCAGCCATGATCGGCTACCTCTATCTTCAACAGTGCACCAGGCCGCACAGATGAAGATCGGAATTCTGTAATCATCTTCTAGAATACAGTCAGAAATCACTTAAAGAAAGTCCAGCTCAGTGTAAAAGCCATGTAATTGGCAAAACACAACAACAAATGTATCAGCCAAAATGTAGAGCTTAGCAAGGAGCTCTCCAAACAGCGTCGGTCAGACATGTCAGTCAGGCACTTAAATAAACATGGAGCATATTAGGTAACAGAAAAAGATATTATGACAGGAGTTAGGCATGTCCTTTTATATCATGACTACCCTGGATCATTATCTATTTTGAGAGGATAAGCAAAACTGCCTGAGCAGTACCCGTGAAATTCAAGGCTTTTGGTAGTTATGCATATTTCATTTGAGACTCTGGCTGAATAATATATTTTTTTGTACATGAAATGAAGAGACATAAATATGGTGAACATTTTGTAATTGTAACAATTATTCCTAAAAAAAAAAAAAACAACCCACACATAGCTTCTTACTTTTTGAAATTGATGATAACTATAATCTTGTCACCTCGGGGATTCTAACATAATCATGGGAAGGCCTGAGAAGGCTTAGAGAAAATGCAAGTCGTTTTTTTTTTCTGCAAGGTATTGTCATTTATCCTGTTTTTTTAACCGTTGATATCTTCTCTAGACTACATGATTCAGCACAAAGGATAGCTCCCCATTTTCAACCTTGCAGCAGTCAATCATAGCTTTGCTGTGCCTGTCATTTTTAATAGCTTCTTCAGAAACTTGTTATTGGTCCTCTTTAAATTCTCGGTATGCTTCTCTCCACGGGAGACTGATGTGTAGATACCGCAGGAGACAGCTGTAATGGGTACATATGCCAAGTGTACGACAGTAATATTGGAAAGATACATACAGAGTCAAAGAAAATAAATAAATTATAGCATGATGCTTCTGAAAGTTAGGAATTTTCCCTCACTGTCATATGTATTTACATTTAACAGACACGGGGAAAAAAAGTTTATTAGAAACAAAGATGTTAAAAATGCATTTGAGTTCATATTAATTAAGGTGAAAAGTTAAAAGCTAAATGTCTTTCACATTCTTCTTCCATAGGATTTGTGTTCTTCTATTTATACCTGTGCCTTGTCTGATGTTTTCAGTATGGGATTGATGACTCTATCTGAGATTGGAGACTTCAATGGGGTAACCTGGAATGCTATATTAGATGGACTCCATCACTTACCTTAAAGGGAGACACTTTCAATACATAAAGGGAATCAACACAGTAAAGGAGGAGACTATATTTAAAAGAAGAAAAACTACCACAACAAGAGGACATAGTCGTAAATTAGAGGGGCAAAGGTTTAAAATAATATCAGGAAGTATTACTTTACTAAGAGGGTAGTGGATGCATGGAATAGCCTTCCAGCTGAAGTGGTAGAGGTTAACAAAGTGAGGGAGTTTAAGCATGCGTGGGATAGGCATTAAGCTATCCTAACTATAAGATAAGGCCAGGGACTAATTAAAGTATTTAGAAAATTGGGCAGACTAGATGGGCCAAATGGTTCTTATCTGTCGTCACATTCTATGTTTCTATGTTTGACTGGTTGTTGTAACTGGTGATTTTGAAACATTTTAGAAATGCTTATGTCAGGATTGATAAACACATTAAACATATCCCTCCAATTTCCTTAAAGTTCCATATGAAGGTACCTACTAACCTTTCTGCCAATAGCAAATGCAACATATGCTATCTATACAGCTACGTATGTCAACATTAGGTCTCCAGAATCAGAGGTAATGCCATCAGCAGGTGTGCACCTTGTCAAATGTCAGTTCTCATTAGTAACCACATAAATATTGAATTAGTGATCTTGTTAAAAATAGGCCACCAGCAAAGTGTAATTTTTTTCTCAATAGACACATGCAGGCTCTTGTCAAATGTGCTACAGATATACAATACATGTTTTTTAATGCTGTAATTTTAAACAATGCACTTGGATTTTCATAATGAAGGTAATAACTAAGTCGTGCACCTCCTACCCCCTTCCCATTAGCAAATGTTCATAGAAATATATAAATGTATGATAATGATATATTATGCACTTCTGTTACATACTGTGCATCTGTATTGTACATTGGCTTAATGTATGTTTGTGTCGGATATCTTTACTAAAAACGTAGCTAAAATAATATTTATATATATATATAAAGCATGGAGAATCCAGCACAATAACTCAACTAAGCACCAGTTTCAATGTTGATAAAATGTCATAGCATTTAAAAACACATGACTAACCAATCATGCATTATAAGGGTGAGGGCGGGGGCCAATTAAT